GACCACCACCACCACCCCCACCACCCCCACTACCCCCACCACCCCACCCACCCCCACCACCCCCACCACCCCCACCACCCCCACCACCCCCACCACCACCCCCACCACCCCCACCACCCCCACCACCCCCACCACCCCCACCACCCCCACCACCCCCACCACCCCCACCACCCCCACCACCCCCACCACCCCCACCACCCCACCACCCACCCCCACCACCCCCCCACCCCCCACCCCCCACCCCCACCACCCCACCACCCACACCCCCCACCCCCCACCCCCCACACCACCCCGCCGTTGGCCGCCGGTGCTGGTGCCGCTGCAGCAGGAAGAGAGCAAAACAACCGCACCACCTGCAATGTTGTTGCGAAAGCAACAGCAGCAGAAGCCACAGCACCACCCGCCGCCAATGCCACCACAGACACCGACACCGCCCTCGCTGCCAGCATCACCATCACCGTCAACATCCACCATCCATCACCCACTACCATCATCATCACAATTACTGGCATGCTTACGTGTTGAGTCATCACCGCCAGCCTTACCACAACAGTGGCAAGCAGATGCCAGCGTCGCTTTTTGGGCGTGTTTGCAGGTCATGAACATCGTGGTCCTGGCAATGGCGGGTTCAGGCGGTGGGACAAACATCTTCGGTGATGCCTCGATCCTGCGCATCTGGGCCCACCAGGGTTTGGAAGTTAAGGGGTTGGAGGATGAGTTGCAGGGACCTCAAGGCCCTTCGCGATCGCTTGCTTTGCTAATGTTAGAAGATCAGCCCCAGGGCCACACTAAACCGCATCTGGCACCAACGACGAAGCCCTTGAAGCAAGATCGCCATCCTTCAAAAACCTGTCAGTCAATCCATGAATGAAATTATCCATCCAGCAATTTACACATATAGAAGCATTGACGGTTACATGATACAGACACTAAACAACACACACCTATATATATATATATAGAATACTTATCTTACTTATGATATATATATATACACATACATATACACATACATATATATATATATATATATATATATATATACACACATATTTACACACACAGATATATATATATATATATATATTGCAATATATATATATATATATATATATATATATGTATAGATATAGATGTAGAGATAGATATACAAGCCATTAGCACCGAAACCCGCAAGGCCGCTTTGCTGAGCTGCACAACGCCAAATGCCCAAATCCCCAAGGCCGAATGTTCCCACAAGCAGGATCCTGTGACCTCCCCTTCCCCTCTCAGTGTGTTGTGGGTCCCCACTAGCCGCCAGCAGAATGCATGTGCTGATCAAGTCGGTTCATAGAGAGACATTCGGGTCTGTACATACATACCTATGTATATATATATATATATATATATATACATATACACATACATATCTACCTCTACCTCTCTCTCGCTCTCTCTCTCTCTCTCGATAAATATATATATATATATATATATATATGTATGTATATACAGAATACACATACACACATGCATGCATACATACATCATACACATACAGGCACGTACATATTTCTCGAGAGTGCATCGGAATACAGGCCCATGTTTCTCGAGTACAAGAAGCCTGTTTGACGTTTTCTTCCAGACTTTCAGGAATAGCAGCTTATTGCTTTGTTGTCCGACGCTGTCTGTAAATATAAAGAAAAGCATATCATAAGTGTATGATGTGTATGTATACATATATACATACATACATACATACATACAAGTAAGGTATCGCGCGGCTGCTGCGCTTGACGCGGCTGTTGAGGATGGCGCGTCTCATCCGGTGGCCTGTTGGAGCTTTAGCAAGTTTCGGGTGTAAGTGTGTTGCAATTTCAACGGTTTGGGGTCTTGTTTTTTTGTGGGGGGCATATGGCTACGTCGACTTTTCCAGCCCATGAGAAGTAATACGTCAGGCTAGCTTGAGAACGACCTGGTGCACCATTCTAAACATAGTCGCATAGAAGCTAAACTGGTGTATAGCAACATCATGTCCCCTATAAGATAGGTATCAGTATGATTTTTTGCGCACTGAAGCACGTGCGCCCTAGTCTTCCTCAGCAGTGGACTCAACCTCATGATGGTAGCAGCGATGCAAGCAGAACGATAATACGTTATCTGAAGTGGTGGCACCAGCAGTTCGAAGCTTTGACCTGAGAGGTTCTTCCCTGAGCTCCTGATAATGGTGAAGGCAATCTGGAGTGCTGCGCGATCGGTGGGCTTCACCCTGATTCTGCTTGGCATCTGCCTGTATGTGCCGGGGCATTCAGTTCAGTCAGAATTTTGGAGTGGTGCAGATGTAGTGAGTCAACTTCGCGTGCTGATCACGAGGTCTTCGCCATAGCTTTCAAGACTGCGCTTGTGGGCACAGCCGTTGGAGACAAGTATTTCAAGCACGTGCCTGGCGCCATGCACAGCCTGCTCCTACAGGGTACGCTGCTGGACTCGGTCTCGGAGATGCTGAATATGATGATCGAGACTGAAGAGTATCTGGGCCTCGGACTGATGTACTTCTTCATGATAGTCTCTGCCATAACCATCATGAACATGCTCATCGGCGTCCTCTGCGTTCCTTGGTTCAACAGAACCTCCCGGATTTGCCACGTACACTGGCGGAAGATGAAGAGTCCTCACATGTAGGGATGTAAGATTGTTACTATCAGTCACTCTGGAATCAACCTTCAACATGTACACTTACCAATTCCCTAAGACCTTAAACCCGATGTACGCGGACCAGACCCGCTACTCGTGTCAAAAAGCCGACTTCGTGGGCACGGCTGAAAAGCTTCAAAACATCACATTTGACATGCTAAAAGGTAGGAAGGCGATAGGGAAGGCTTGCAACGTCCCAGGAGGTGATCACGGCCGTCGCAGACGCCGAGAAAGAAGCCTTGCAGGCCAAGCCAGCTTGCAGTGGTGTTTTCTTCTGGTCGCACGCCCTCCTAAACCCTAAACTAAACCCTAAACCGTACTTTCAGGTCAGCTGGACGACAGAGGTCCTCCAGACATGCCTGCAGCTGGGCGCCGATGAGAACAATGACGGCTGCATCGCCGCCGGCCTTCTCTTCACTTAAGGGTGGTTAGCTATAAGGGTTGCTGACTTTATATGGGCTTTTATATAGGGCCCTACAACCTACACCCTTGTAGGCCTTTTGCGCTTGTCTGTTGCGCTAGCCTGTCACTATGCATTTCGTACCTTGCCTCATGATGCCATTCATCGAGGCTGTGAAGGAAAGCTGCAGGGTTAGCTGCCTGAGCAGCGTGCTAAGTAGCAATCAGAAGGGTCGACTTTAGGTAGCGGCAATTGCCACTGTCTCCATTTGCCCCTCAGGATTTGGATGAGTTCCAGCACATGGTCTCCAATGCGAGAGTTCGCAAGGTCTTGCGCGAGGCTGACGTAGACCTGCACGACCTTGTGGCCCGGCATTTAAGTACAGCGGCACTGCAAAATTCCCCATTGCTACTCTTCCCAGTATTGAGATCTTGGTTTACTCTTCCGAGTGTCATTTCAATCAACTTCCTCGTGCAGTCTATATGCTGTGTTTTTTTCGTGGTCGAGCTCCTTTTCGTGCGAAGCGGGGAGCATCTATCCATCTTGTCATCATCAGCTCAAATGACTGACGAATTTGCATGGAGTTAGAGAGTATGCTTGGGAACGGAAAGCAACTGGATCGATCTACTGGATCAGATCTTCAATCGAAGTGGGCGGCCAGTCCGCTCGAGACTCAGGTCAACTTCATAGACGTCCTTTTTGAAAACGGTGAGGAGGGTGGCTACTACGACAAGGCGCCCTCACCTCTCTGGGCTTGAGGGCTTGAGGATCCACCATATTTCGGATATTCCGATTGTGTTGCATTTGTCGCAAGCCCGGTAGTACGCAGCAATCGCTATCGTACATTGGCGAAGTCCAAGAAAGCCCGGCGGGCCCAGTATTCGAAGGTCGACGGTAGATGTTTCAGGGTTTCAGACTTTGGGCCGCTTTGCAGCTTCTTCACGCTGCCACAACCAAAGAAGCCCCATCCATTCGACATCAGGTGCCGTTCTCCCAGCTGCTTTGTCGCATCGGGCCCTGCCTTATTCGGGGTAAGCATGGAAGTTTCTTCTAACATGCTGTCCATGAGTCCATAATTATGATCTTCGCAGTCACATATCCTCCTCTTCCACACTTGCTTCCGGTCTTGCTTAGAGCTTGAGGTTTATGGAGCGGCTCCTCAAGCTCCGCGGAAGCAACACCGCCACAGTCAAAGACTTGGCATCCTGGCTGACGAAATGGGGCAGCCTTTCTCCACAGGGCCCGAAACGTTGCTTCATGCATTTCCAGATCTCCCAAAGTCTGCAGGGTAAGCCGGAGTATGCAATATCCGAGGTGGACATTAGAAAATGGATGACGCGGGAGTTCACGGAACTTAAGACGCAAGTTCTGCGCACGACATCGTCGCGCCTTGGCTTCAGAGTTGCTAGCAGAAGCCTGGATGGTACTGTTTCCAGCCGCCTGAGGAGGAAAACTACAACTACGGTGCCTCGATCTTCTTCTGCGCCATACGGCTTACCTTTCGAATTTGTGATGCAAGTCTAGCCCGACTGCGGAGATTGTGACGCCAGTTGACAAAAGGCGTCCTAGTCCACCTGCTCCAGTTCTTGCATTCAGTCAGGTCTCAGGTCTTCATGAGCCGGTTTAAAGTTTAGCAGCAGTCTCGCGCCTTGCCCTTGTCCGTTTGGCATTGAGCCAGATTTCGGGTTCTCGCAGAATACCAGATCGATCTACAAATTGAGCACTCCAGACTCCAGACCCTTTGGCTCCTACGGTCCTACGTCGACCTGCAGTGAGGCAAGGCTGACATACGGATTGTCCTTTCTGATAGGGCCGGCATGGACCAGCTATCTGCAACGCTGCACGTTGACGACAGATGTGAGAACATAGGAATTTCTACCGAACCTGGCGAACTTATTTGTGCGGTCTTTTGGCTCTCAGGCGTCTAAAAATGGCACTTGTAGTGCAGGGCTCGTCCAAGCGTGTTTCCTTGGACATGGAGGTGGGCATTTATAGGCATCTTTGCGGTTCGACGCGGTTCGACACACAAAGTTCTCAGAGGGTCGCGTGGTTGCTGAAGCTGTCCAGGAGACAGCCGGGGAGATGTGGCACCCCAGTGACGGATGCAACGATCTATTGCGGGCGCTTGATGAACCCTGGCGAACTTCTTCGGTGTTGTGGAACACTAACACGGTATGCTGGCCCGTTCTCCTACCATCTTCATTGGAGCAGCTACTGCTCACCACCATCACCGGCACCTCCACCGCCACTACTGCTGTTGCTAAGTCATCATCATCATCATCATCATCATCACGCCACCATTGTCATCCCCACCATGGGTCATCATCAGCATCAGCATAAGCATCATTATGTCGCCATCGCCAGCATTTTGACCACTCATCACTCATCACTATCGCCGTTAGCATCAGAATCACCACCATCGCAGCGGCATAATCGTCTCCATGTCCTGCTGGCTGTTGTTTGAGATGTGTTTATTGCAAGTTTCTCATTTTTTTCGTGTGAGCCTGTTTGGTCTTGGTGGTTTTCTGGTCTTTGTTAGTCATGTTGGCAGTGGTGCGTATCATCGAGCGGCGCACAAGAGTGAGGATGACTGAATCTCACGTCAGGACCATTATGCTCAGTGGCGAGGGGCCGTGGAGCGATCCTTCGGTAGACAGGGAGCAGAGGGCATGATGGAGGTGCTCAGTGGCATTTTCTGCGTGAAGTAAGAGCTGTGTCTGGTGTCAAGGTGTCAGATGTATCAGTTTATGATGATGTATATCTTACGAAGCAAGCATAGCTGGTTGCAGCGGCCATGTGAGATCTGGCGAGGCTTCGTCGTTGCTCTCGCAACGCAAGGCCGCCTACGGAAGCTCTTTGGAGGAAGAAAAGCAAGGCATGACCTGGCTTTGCGCAGCTATTCGCTTCAGATTTGCGGTCAGCCTGGCTCCTGCGCGATGATACTTACCGAGTTGAGCCTCTGCACGATCTCTGCAGGAAAGCTGTTCGAGACACAGCAAACCTACCAGCCAGCTGTGGTGAGCAACGATCCACTACCTGCACCTTGGCCCTGGATGCCTTTTGAAGCATGCAGTGATTGTGACACTGTCTTGCTGTTGCTGCGAGATGGCTGAGGACTGCTTGCCGACTGAAGCTTTCGAAAAAGCAAAGCCGATAGTCGTACTTGACGAGCCATCGAAGGCTCCGTGGTTCGCATTGTGAGACTGTTGCAGCTGTTTGCGTGGTCTCGTGCCACGAGCATCAGATCATTGGGGCAAAGGAACACTGCTCGAGTCGCTCGAGCCGCTCGTTGGTGGAAAGTCCCCGCAGAGATAGTCTTAGCGGTCCGTCTCATGAAAAGCCGCGTGACTGCACCGAATTCAGGCACAGTATATACTGAGCGGCTTTCAGAGAAGGTGCAGAGCCTCCAAGCTCTAAGGTCCTCCAAGCCGTCTGCCGGCACCGCTGCCATGCTCGGCCTCCATGACATTGGCGGTTTTCAGGGTTTCCTCCGTCGGCGCAAGACCTACATCGACTATATGGCTGGACTTCTGGTCCTTCTTAACTCGTCACTTGGTGCATGAAGGGTTTCGTGCATGCACCGTTTAGATGCGAGCAGCGTATTGCCGAGGTTGGTTATGATGCTCGAACTGGAACTTGAAGGTCGCGCAGTGGGTGCAGCTCAGTTTGGCGGCTTGGACAGCCTTGCCAATGTTCGTCTCCGTCATATGCAAATATACAAGCATACGAAAACAGTAATCTGCTAGCTATCTATCCCAAGCCGACTTAGCCCTTAGCGGGCCCTGGCCCCAACAAGAGCCCAAGCGCTTCGAACATAAGACGTTTGGCGCGCAACAAGCGCCGGAGCCGGAGTCTTCTGGAGACCGACATGGTCTCATTATACGACCGTTTCTTCCATAATTCTACTCTTACCAGAAGTGCACTGTAAACCAAACCCTAAACCCTAAAAGCCCCGGCTAGGAGGAAAAAGGCATTCAAAAAAAGAAACCCTAAACCCCAACTGCAGTACCCAGAGGCCCCATAGTAGTTCCTTTTTGGAACTACCTCATAAACTTCTAGATATAACCCCCAAAAAGGAACTACTTTGGGGCCTTAGGGTATTTTTGTGCGTTGAAAACCGAGGTCTTGCGAACTCCGGGCCCGACTTGGCCTCGGTGGAGCCTGTCTTCCGAACGATTGACGCCGTCTTTGCAGCTCCGCGGAAGGTATTTTGGGTGGTTGTCAAAATTAGGGTCCCTTCTTGGGTCCCTGTTATAATACGGCACCTGTTATTTAAGGTACCCAAAAGGGACCCTGATTTTGACAACCACCCAATATAGGGGCCTTAGTAATTACCTGTACTCTTCTGCGATTCCCTACAAGCAATGTAGCAGAATATGGTAATATGCTGCAACATGCCAGCTGCAGCAGTCGTCGCCCCCCCCCTTGCAGGCCGGTGTTAGGAGCAGTGGTATCAGCAGCACTGCCAGTGGTAGTGAAACTAGTCGCAAAATCAGCCGAAGTACGTGCAAGCATGATAATGCAAAAATGAAAGATGCCAGTGGCTCTCTCAGGTGTATGTTTTTCTTGCTGAGTTGGTCATCCGCGTGGTGATCGAGCGCCTGCAGTTTCCCGTGCGGCGTTGGTTTGCAGCAGTTTTCCTTTGTGTTGAAATCGCTGCATGCATCATCTCCTAGTGGCAGCACTAGCATCAGACCCCATGGACCCCAACCGTGTTGATGATAGGACTGTCAAGCTTATGCTGAACCCAGTTTCTTCTATGACTTTGCCAACTGGTTCGACCTGGCGCTGGTCACGGTCGGGGCTGCCTGCCTCAGAGATTCAAGGGCCATAGCAGGCAGACAAGGCACAAGAGATGCTTGAAGTGCTCGGCTACAGGAGCTTAGAGATGCTGCAGTCGTGTGCAAGTTCCGTGGTTTGAGTTGCTGGTTGTGGCTGCAGGATGCTGCAGGAATGTGCCAACTTTCAGCCATTTGCAGGTGCGTGAAAGGGGTTCGCACCTGCTGCCAGAACCTCTGCCTCGAGTCCAATTCGACGCCACGCCTCCCTTGTCTGTCCGAAGCACTTCTTACAGAAGGCCTTCTGCCGCATTGCGCAGATCAGCTCGATTCCCACACGATAACAGCTGGGGCAGTACAGCCACACCGCAGCAGCGGCAGCAGCAGCGTACTGCGAAGCTGGGCAGCCAGAAAGGTCGTCGCCTAGTGACGAATGGGCATGCCCGCACCGCAGACATGAACCTCGAAAATCGACGCACTCGTTTTGTCGCCAACAGCCTGCCATTGTGGATCCCAACCCGCGCTGGATCCCATCATCGTCTCTTCGCTCACCCCTCGCATGACGTGGCCATGCCCACCTGCGTGCAGACGTTGCCCATGCAAGAGGGAACAACCGGGAGGACCTATTTACCATGTAACACTGCTGTCATAAATCAAACGTGCACGCGATCGAGGCTGAGGTGGTGAACAGATCGGATTGATCGGGTATTTCGACCATGCGCAGACTATTGGTGATACTCGTATTCATGATGCTACAGCCGTTACTGGTATTGGTTACCGACATGCTACGGTTACTACTTACTGCCGATGCCGCCATCACAGCCATCTTTGCTACTACGACAACCGCAGCTCAGCGAGTGCCAGACATGACCCGTCTGGATTGCCAAATGAGGGGGCGTGTTTAAAATAGTGTGTTAACGTTAAAATTTAAGGCAATGACGGGGCGGGGTTAAGGAATGTCATCAACCTGAATCGCAGAATGAGGAGGCGTGTTTGGGATATGCGCGCCGTAAACGCTTAAACCCGCTGCCTTACATCCGAGAGCGGTGAATAAATCGTTTCCCCCAAGTACTGCTGCGATTCGAGATGTTCAAAAGCAAGGGTGGTCCAGTTTGGGCCACATCTCTATTTACAATGGCGCACGCACGTCATGCTTGCAGCGCCTAGTACCCAACTTTCAGTGACAATAAGCACACATCCCCCTTGCTTGCTTCTGGCTGAAATCCTTTACCTCTCAGCGCAAATTCAGCCAGCAACACAAGGAATTCAGCCGGCTGAAATCCTTGTACCTCGCAAGGATTCCAACCAGCATCAGCCAGGCATCGGTTACCCCGGTGCCGGGGGCGCACCGTTGAAAACCGACTCCCTAGTGGATCTTATGGATCCCCGTGTGAACCCGATCGAAGTCAAACAGATCAAGCAGATCCCTCAGCTCAGACAGAGAGAGAGATGGTATGATAAATGAAATTTTGATTGATGGATGCTGATGCTCATGGTGCGTCCTCGTTGTGCGCGGCATCCCCCCAGCAAGAACGAAACAGTGCTCCGAACGGCAGGTCCGGCCTGAGGAAGTGATTGGACTCAGGGCACAGGAAGCTGTTCGGCGCGCTGTTTATATGTACCCATATAATGGCAAACCTGTATGCGAGTTGAGCCGTGCCACCGCACAACTGGCGCAATGTAAAGATGTGTGGCGGAAACACTTGGGCACTACTCTGCCGGGGCGCTGAAGAAGCCCCTGATATGGTGGCGCTGAAAAAGCAGCCAGAGGCTGTAGGGAGTCGGACGCAAGAACTGTATACCTGCGCATTTGCACATACACATATATGTATATATGTACATATATATATATATATACATACATACACATATGCCCTTGTCAAATCTTGGCAACGCTCAGGGGCCGGCACCGGAGTAACCACGGGGATTTTTTCGGAAGCTGGGCCAAGGATTTCAGCCGGCTGAAATCCTTGGGTCGATCCTTACCCTTGAACTTAGGCCAAACCCTAGTTCACAGGATATTTCAGCCGGCGGGAGTCCTTCCAAACCTGGGTCGAGAGGTTGAACCGAGCAAGCAACACCCCGCACCACAGCGGGAGACACGCGCAGCGATTGTGTAAATGGTAACGGCTGCAGTGCTTCGGTGGACAACCGATTTATTGGCAGAGCAGAAAGATTCAAAACCATGTCGCCTGACCACAGTCGCGCTGCTGTGGCTCTTTCTGTCCTTGCTTCTGAAATGTTGATGTGGCTTGTGGATCCACTGTTGGAATAACTTTTGCTCCTGGAACAATGAAGTGCAGACCTGTCCAACCCGGTTTGTTGTGAATATGCACAGTTACTGTGGGCGAGTGGGTTGTGCGGCAAGATTGTTGGATGGGGTTATGGGCATGCAATTCACAACAGTATCCCAAGCCTACCGGGGGTAGTTCAGATTTGCGGGCGCATTTTGCTGGGAGCTGGGCTTGAACGTGGAATGGCGATTCTGACGTGACGCACTCTGTTCAGTATCGCTGCAATGTGCGTGGTGGTAAAGTCAGGTCGCTCGCAATTGGGTGCATGACGTGTGCACACTTCGTTGGGTGCGTTTGCTAGTCTTTACTTCGCAGCTATGGCAGGGCGAAGTTAGGCGAAAATGAAAAGCTACTGCATGAACTGCTGCTTGATCGCCTTCTCGTTGGTTGTAATTCACGAATTTTTTTGCCGCGTCGACCACTCCACTTCTGACATTGCCTTTTGTTTACAAAGTGATGTAGCATTTCAGCACGACAAGCTTCCGAGCATAAGTGCAGCTGTCTCGGGGAAAAGTATGCCCGCATGTTTTGGGTCTGGGGTTCCTGCCCCTGCGGTTGTGGGTTTACTGTTGTTTTGGTTGAGTTGACACACACGTTTCCTGCTTTTGTGGAAACCGCCTCAATGGACCCTCTCCATCGTCATACGCAGTCAGCGCCGAGCGCTTACTACCGCGACGGGCGGGCCGGGACGTGCGCTGCATCGAAATTATCGGACTCCCGCTTTGGGGGGCGGAGCACAGCTTGCTGTCGACACCACCCTTGTGTCCCCTCTCGATGCCAGTGTGGCACCGCTCAGCGCCTTGCCCGCAAGACCTTGCCGGCACGGCCAATGTTGACGGCGACTCAGCGAGGTCCTCGCCTCGACTCGCTTCGACGAGACCCTGTCGCCTTGGGTTTGGGACCGCGTCGTGGATTGTCCGAAAAGGTGTTCGGAAAAAAAGAGAAGGATGGTAGGCCGCATTAGTGCCGCAGAAATCCCGTCCGAAGAAAAACGAGATCGAGACGAAGCTTGATCAAGTTCGACACAAATCACGTTTTAGAGGAAGCTACCAAAGCTCCGATGTCGTGAACAACCGCAGGAATGGAGGCCCGGGCAAGCGAACGGCTGACGAGTTCGAGGAAATAGCCAAGCCGAAGGGGAAAGCCAAGGCTAAAGCGAAAGCTAAGGCCAAGGCCAAAAAAAGATGCGAAGCCAAAGGCAACGGGCCGGTGGTGGGCGTGGTCATGAGGGGGGTGGTGGGGGGGGGGGGGGCGCATGGCCATACAGATGGTATCGTTCACCCACGAGGGAACATACGCTTGCTTTCCAAAAGTTTCGGTTGCATGATCGTAGGGAACATGGAGACCATTACAGGATTTTCAGTTCGCCACTGTGGAACCGATCAAACTACAGCTTCCACCGCGATGGTTTCATCCACGATTGGCTAGCGACATGTTGCCTTTTTGAAAATTCTCCGCAGGAAACCTCGGCAAACAAGTTCCCGACATGCTCAACAAATCAACCCCAGAAACTCGGAACATGGGTGTAGCATGATTGGTGCGGGGGCTCCCGCGAAAGACGGGACCAATGCACATTCAGGGCGGTCTATCATGAGGCTAACTTGGTGTCCGGAATCTGGGCCCGCAAATTGGGCCGAAAACCTCAACAACAAACTGCTTAACGGTTAACGTTGGTTGTGCCCGGTTCCCCTTCAATGATTGCACACACCGGCTGGATGCACACCTGGACTACAATGCTAAAGGGCAGTGAGAGAGGCGTGTCCGGAGACGAGCGTGGGTCACGGTCAGAGAGCAACTACGACAAGCATGCTGGTTCGTCCACCACCACGAACAAGCCAAGAACAACCAAGCAAAGAACCAACACCCAAGACAAAGTCTGGAACCATGCATGCTGTGAAGAACAGACTAAAACCAAATCACTGAGTGAAAAATGTTATCATGGAGCCTCCCCTCACCCGAATCAGCATTGTATACCCAAACGGGGTGTAGGGTCCCACGTAGAGAAGGCCTGGGGAATCACCGGGTCCCACATCGTCCCACCGAACCCGATTTCGGTCCCACGTAGAGAGGAGCTGGGACCCACCGAGTCCCACGGAACCCAATTTGGGTCACCATACCGGAGCTCTCAGGTCCCACCAAGTACGTATCGGGACACACGCAAGGCTGGTGGTTTCCGGCTTCAACATAGCGTGCCTCCATAGTAGCTTACATTCATGCAATCAGCAGATTGTTCCGTACTCGGTGTGTACTTATGTTATTCGGGTGCGTTCGCGACGACCACGCCACGCCCGCAATGTTGACGTGGACCACCCGGAGCTGCACCATTGAGAGTGTGCATGCTCAGGTTTTGGATATGCTCGTGTTCGTCCCCCTGTCGGACACGGGCGAACCTCAGAACATTGCCGCAGGGCAACCAATTATAATCGCATAAGCACTTTTCCGCCGCATCACAGTGAAATGGGTAGCCGAGGTTGTCATGCGATTGGTGCGCGTCGTCAAATCATTGCGAGCGATTCGCATGTTTCGCACCCTTCGGCTTTTCCGTGGCTTGAACTTGCTGGTGAAGGCTTGTCAGCTCCCTGGGCAGAAAGCAAGCATGCGTAGAACCTATGCGAAAATATGACATGGGATTCTGCACCATGCAAAGGGAGTCGCATGACTGAGTCGCATGCTGTCCAAGGTGCTTCCTGCCGTCCTTGGGATGGTCAATGGTGTTGCTGGTTGTGTTCATGTCGATGGGCACCCTGGTCATGGGCAACCTCTTGCGGGATTTCATCACGGACAAAGATGCCAACATGGACGACCGGCTGTGGATTTATTCGCGTTATGGCACAGCTTATCATGCAATGTACACATTGTATGAAATTACCTTTGCAGGCACGAGATGTACCAGAACAGTGTGAGTTAAAAAAAAAATTAACGGCATCAGCAATTGCAGTTGTTTTGCTCCTGGACAGGCAACTGGCCGACCAACGCACGGCCTGTTCTGGAGAAGGTGAACCATTCCTTCGTGATTTTTTACGTGATCTACATTACCATCATTGTGTTCGCTGTGATACGTGTAATCAGCGCAACATTTTTGAAGGATACACTCGATGCTGCGCAAAACGATGCGGAAAATTTGGTGGTGGAACGCTTGCGCAAGAAAGCCCAATATGTCAAGAAGTTGGAGGAAGTGTTCATGGCAATCGACCAGTCAGGAGATGGCATGTGGCGACGGTTGCATTAAAACTGCACGGTAGGTCAAGTACATTCAACTACATATGCATGCTGTCACACTTGCATCATGTCATAAGGATCTCGGAAGAGCGCCTTGCCAACATTCTGTCGAATCCCAAAGCGGTGGCTTATTTTCAGACGCTGGATGTGGCCGAGCCGCACGATTGGAGGATTCTGTTCCGGGTGTTGTACAGGAGGTCGGCTTTGGAAAGCATTGGCAAGCTGTCGCACCACGCATTTTGCTCAGGTGGATGTCACAGAAAGTGCGGCACTTTTCCACTTGATCGATAACGGAGACGGTGAGGCACTCCTTGGTTTCTTTCCCGAGCGAGAATGGCAGTTGCACCAGCAATGCTGGCATCACGGATTCCGCCCGCGTTGGTTTGGAAGCTCGCGCTTGCTTTGTGAGCTGGCACAGTCGCTGGATGTGTTCAGTGTTTTTGCCAGGTCACATTGGATGAGTTCATCGAAGGCATCATGCGATGCAAAGGCCCAGCGAGGGCAATTGACCAGGCGCCAGAGCATGTTAATACGATCGCATGCTGCCACGCATGTGGCCGGCATTGGCGGATGCATCCATTGACATCTCAACTGTTGCGGCTGCGACGTGCGCCCTGTTGATTTCAGGTGGCGATGCGCGCAATGATTCAGCAAGTGGATCAGAAACTTTCCAAGCTCACGAAGAAGTTGGTAGAATCAGGCTTGGGGGTATTGTGTACTTGCCTTTTGGCGCCGGTTGAACACACATGAACAAATTTATGTGTTGTGCTGGACTGCATAATAAGGCACCTTGGAATCCGATCGTGAATCCTAGCGGTGCGGTTGTAGATGTCGAATCGAATTGTGACAGGGTCAGACTCCTCCACAGGCACAATTCTGCCGAAATTGAGCACCGCACCGTCGGCTGACAGCCCTGGCATATGGTGAGATGGTATCGAATGCAGAATAGGATGGATAGCCACTTCAGCTGCATTGTTGGCTGTGAAGTGAAGCATGCAAGCGCGAAAACTGCGACGTGAACACATTTTTTCTATGCGAACGGTCTATAACTATGGTGTAGAGACAACCGTGAGAGGCTCTTCGCTTCCAAAGGAAGTGCAATGCTTTAGTCTTGAAGGTTAGTCTTTTTTTAATTGGTCTGCAACCACTGGCGGCAGTTCAGAAACAAGTGAAACTTGGCTTGTTGCCTTGCACTTCCGTGTTCGAGTCCAGAAACAGTTTCCGTAAGCAAGCGCTAAACTACAAAATGTTCGCTTGGATTCCGTCGGAGGTGCCGAGTGCTGTCCCAAGATGGGCAAAGGTTTAACTTGTTGATGCCATGCTTCGGAAGGGTAGCGGAAAGTAACATAAGACGGCGTTTCGCTGGATGCTGGGATGAGATCGGAGATGTGCCACGGTGCTTAAGAGTGCCGGGCATGCTACGTAAAGCATGCCTAGTGCCTGTTTCACGTCGCTGCGACACCAGTGGTGGAAGATGGTGCAAGTAGGTGAGTATGCTTTATCGCATGTATTGGCTTAGCTTTACGACTGCACACTCGTGTCGCAGCTCGTTTTCAAATCTAGTTGGCCATAAGTTGTGCCTAGATTCGTGGGGTTGAGGGGTCAGGTGGATGTAGCATCCCTAGGGCATGATCATCCGTTCCAACTGGGGGTTACCGGACTATGCTGGGCCAGCAATCATTCAGCAGGTCAGCCTCTGCGAAGCGGAGGGCGATTCGCCAAGAACGCGGTATCGAGCTGCAAAAGCATTAACAAAGTATGCAAGCATCAAGTGTCATCCACATGTTTGGACCTGTTGCCTGCACAGCACATTTGCTCTGGTTTTCTCGCTCACTTGCCCTTCCTGCTAACGTCACAGATGAAAAGAGGGTTCCTTGTTTGTTCTTGCAGTGTTTCTTTCGCAAAAGCTGCTGTTAGAGTTCTACATAATTTCCCATCTCATCTGCCCATGAGATAGCCTCAAGGAGTGGCATGCGGACACGATTGCTCCAACCATCCCCACTGCATGTTCGGAACTGGGTGAACTCAGGCAACAATGACGGCAAAATGAAAGCCCCACAGATGGTTTCCTGAGCAATGGCAGTGCTGCCACCCACGGAGGCAGAAGGAGGCCCGGAGGGCGCACTTCTGTGAATAGGGGCGCGAAAATGCTTCAGCGGTTTTCGTGACCATTGGCTTCAGGTGCGGCCGCAGGGTGAGAGCGCAGAGTAGGACTTTGTGTGCAAACAGACGACACAGGATGGATCACACCGCGGGCAGAGAGATGGCAGTGACCTGAGCCGTGTCAGTCCTTCGGCTTCATGCAACTTCGGTGCCACATGGCTCAGTGGCTCAGTAAGGTTGGAATACCGCCGCCATCTCGCAGCTGCTTCGGCCTTTGCAATGCTGACATCTTTAACTTGCTGTTATAGGCCGTAGCATCACGACAAAGCTAGTGCTGTTGCAGAAGGTGCAAAAGTCTAGAGGGCTGAACTCGATGCATGTTTGCCTGTCAGGTCCTAAACGATTCTCTAGCTTCAGGGGCCTAGTTTCACCAACTGTTTTCATAGTACAGTTGCTGTATTTTGGGAATCAGCAAGATCGGGGGAAGTGACTTGCGACGATACTCGCACGTGGACGTTCGGCATGCATGCAGGCAGATGTGAGTGAGACTTTGCATGGCCTTCGCCCTTCGCGCAGCTACCAAATGTTGAGAAGTGCGCATCGATGCAGCTGCAATTGGTTGTCTTGTCTTGCACGCGAGCACTAGATTTTCAGGTTGATCGGAGCTGAAGCGCTTGGGTCAGAAGATGTTGTTGCAACGACTCCACCTGACTTGAAACCTGCAACTCAGGGCGCTAGCAGCAGGCAGAGCTGGGGAGATTTCGGAAGGTTGTGACGATTCGGTTGTTCTCATAGGGTGTGCTTTCCGTCAGAGACTCCAGATTCGCGAAACCATGAAGTGCTGGGGTGGTTGGAGTCCGATTCGCTTACGGCTTACGGCCGATCATCCTACATGCTGTAAACCAACCAGAAACCAGCAGCTTCCACGCGCAGGAAGACATCCCAAGCTTCACCTTCGGAGGCCTCGTTTCTGAGTTTACCGGCGCGAAGAGCTGTTCGTCTTGTGTCATTCATGGCTGTGCTGCAAAGCGGCGTGTTGGCTTCGTGCTTTCTGTTGGTGGTGTCATTCCCGTCCGCTCTCGACGACGTGTCTATGCGCAAGCGTCGTGTCCGTGCCAAAGGTTGGTGGACAAAGTCAGCTCCCGGCAGTGCGTGCAGCGCACACACGTGCAGAGGCGTCGCAAAGGCTGAGACCGCTTGGGCAAAAGGGGGTTCTCAATGCAGGCTTGGCACGCCACGTCTATGTTCAGAAGACTGCAAGCAGCATGGCAACTAATGGGAGTGACAACTTGTTGTCAACCTGCAATGCGTTGAATTGCGACAGAGGTGGATATAATGTTCAGGGTAATGCAGTGGAGGAAGAGAGGCCGCCATGCAGCCGAGAGCCTGTTTCAAACAGGCTGGAGTTTAAGTGCAGCATGACCAGATATCGGCGCCCGCACGTCTTGCACGTGGAGCTCGACGAGCTGATCTTGAATGCCGCAGACCTTGGCCTGGAGCTGGCCTGGTGCGTCAGGATAGGAGTGTGGGGCTGCGCGCGTGCCGAAAATGCGTAGCCCTCGTGCATGATGCAACCATTCTTTCGGAACTCGCACATACATAGGCTCAGGATCGGAACTAAGCAGGACGACGTGCGTCCCCCACCAGGTACGAGACTGCAAAGTACTTCGTCTCTTTGCATCCAAGCTCCGCGCAAGCCTCGACGACGTATGCTTATGTTTTGGGCAGATTTTGCAAAATCTTGGTTCAGGATTCAGGCATCTCGCAACACTTATTGCGCCCACTAGAAAGCACCTGCGCAAGGTTGGGCCGGTACATTAGCAAATAACAGCCAGCTGCTTGGTTCCATCCAAGGTGCGCCTTCCCACCGTGCAGTGGCCAAGCGAAGCGCACTGACCTTGTTCGAAGCTGTGTCAGCGGGGGGCGGGGGGGGGGGGGCGGGGTGCGAGATTTTGAGGAGCTGGACTTGGAAAGGGCATGCAAGGGCTGCTTCAATAGAATTCTTAGGTGATTTTCCGTTGGGACTCGTTCTTACATCGAGGGTAACAGGTTTAAGTCTTAAGCCTGTCGCTTCCACAGGGGGTGCGGCGGCAGGGAGCTGAGTGTGGCGAAGCATGCAATGTAAGTTGTGCGCATGCAGTTGGAGCCGCTAGAGCCTGCTTGGGCAGTTTGCATTAATACTTGCTTCACTAGATCTCGGTACCACAGATATCGGACAGGGACAACTATCTATGTGCACCGCCCTGGGTACGGTGTGGTAAATTGGCAGTATGGAGACCAAGTGGACGTGTAACTGACAACAACCACAACAACGCAAAACTGGCCAAAGCTTTGGACCGCTGCAGCATTGACTGACAACCACTCCCGGACAGTTACGCAAGCCAGGGCTTCCTTCTTCCCATGTCCACGAGGCCACGCCCGAAGCCGCATGCAAATTACATGGCCTCTCTGGCACAGCCAGCTCGGGCTTCCATGCCGGGGCCACGGAGAAAAGTGGAGCTTTGGATTTCCACGCAGGGCCACGGAGACTGTGATGACCTTGTTGTGAGCGGTCTTTGGTGACTGCGGCTCAGAGGTCCGGCGTGTACGACAAGCAAGAGGTGGTGCAGATTCAAGAGAAGCTGGAGATGCACGTCGAAGCTCGGCCGCACGTCGAAGAGCAGCATTGCCACACCCACTGCATCGACAACGTCCTGGAAGGATGCCTTGGATTCGCACTTTGTGATGTTCTTGTGGCATCTCGGCCAGCACAGAAGCAAAGCAAGGGATGCAGGAAGACAGCGCAGTCGAGAAAGGAGAAAAGGACGATATCTTCGATCCTGCTTCTTAGTGCCAACATGTGTTGGTGTGACCGGCGGTTTTGAAGCCGACAAAGACAAACTGCGAAGCTGCGAAGTTTCTGGCTGTCACAGCATCGCTATTAGGTGCCAGCGGAGCTCCTTACTCGGAGACTCGACAGCGTGGCCCTCAAAGTGCTGCCGATGTGCTTAGGTTATGCGGGCCATGGGGTGTACTTGGGGATACCTGAGGTCTAGGCGTAGAATGAAAGCGCTGCGCGCGATCAGGCATCGCACCGTTAAGTAAAGGGATGTGATGCGGACACGCCAAGCTCACCAAGCTTTGCATGCTCTTCTGTGAAGCTACGACTGGCTCTGACGAACTATGCTGGCAATGTTTCAGGCTGCAGAAATGGTTTTCCACTGTTGTAGCGATCTGAAGGGGTGCAGGTTCTCGGGATTATGGGAGCTAGCTCCCGGCAGCAAGCAGACCCGGATGCAAAAAGGGGTGTGAGCGTCATGAAGCGATGATTCAGAGTAGAGTAGGGCTGAGTAGGGATGATCCATCGTCGAAAGCTCTCCATCCCTTGACTGAGCCCCGGGGTTTGAAGCCGAAAAAGCTGAAACACCGCAGAAGGACACCAATTTTTTTCACTCGCCACCGAGGTCTCCACCTGGAATTTAAGAAACCCAGCAGGTTCCATGACATGTTGAGGGAAGCCCGAGAGCGCTTCCGCTCAGGTTCTCTTGGGCTACCGGCCCATTCCTCTGCGAGTTGAGACGCTATACTGTCGCTGCCTGGCTGCTCTGAGACACTAGGGTCACTAGGGCTCGTGCTTTTTCGGGGAAGTCATTCGCGGCGATGGCTCGCGATGAACATTTCGGGATTGGGTCTTGGGCCGGTAGTGGAGAGGGAGGGGTTCAAGTTTGAGCTCTGATCAATGCGGTTATAATGCACCGGGGAGATGACACAGCTTCACCCTCAAAAATAACACGCAGTGACCGCTCGCTGAAGCAACAACATGCCGGCGTCATCGTGGCATCAGAAGCTTTAGGGCCTGGGGTCCCGGCTGACCCGTTCATTTTCCAGGCTGGGCAGCCTGGGACATCTCGGACTTGGAGGTACCCGTTCTGCGTGTCTTTGTTGTGTGCAAGCCGTTTTCGGTGTTTCCGCTCTGCACGACAGCTTCCCGCCATAGCATCGTGCTAGTGCTACTGTTATTTTGTCGTCGTTTTCTCTGTTTTTCTATGATCGAGGTCAAGCCAGTGTAAGAAGTAACATAGTGCCATGGCCATTTACAACGTTGTTGTGATCGGTCTAGCAGTAGATGGTGGACATCAGTGGTAACATGCCACATGGGAGTTTCCGAAAAGTAGGGGTACCTTATTTCGGGGTCCTTATAATCAGGATCCTACTATTTAGGGGTATGATATTGGGTCCCCCATTTTTGGAAACTCTCACTTTTTTACAGATTTTTCGGGGAGCTAAGGCCGCGCAAGAGCTGGCACAGCTCAGGATCCGCCTGACCGTCGTTGCACCGTCGGTGGCCGAGACTGGGTTCTTGTTAAGGGATTCAATGTAAGCTGCCATAGTAAGGACACCATATTAGTTGCTATAGATCCCTCTCATTGTATAATAAGGACACCATATCATTAGCTATAGATCCCTATTATGGTAACTTAGATTAAGTTCTTTAACGAGAGCCAGGAGAAGCATCAGGGACGCAGCAGCCTCGAACCCGAGACTCAACGATGCCAAACGTCGACAAGACGTAGCACCGCTTGACAGATGGGCACTGAACTTGAAACGGCAATTCTGCTGCACGGTGAAGAATGGTCCGAAAGCTCATGCTTCACTGGACTTGCCACTTGGTGTACTGGATGGTGTAACATGAGTGAAAATCGCGATGACCCAGGCCGGGGCAGATCCGGCTGGCACATCTCTCTGACGTGCACGAGACAGGGCACGCAGCCTTTGCATGATGAGGGCAGTAGCTGTAGCCAGCAGGCTTCCGGTGTGGCTGCTGTGGTGCGCGTTGCTTGCAAATGTTCGCATCGGATCAACAAAGAGGACGTGGGCAAAGAGTGGTACATCATGCCGTTTGCCTTCTGCCCGTCAGGTTCACCCTGAATTGGAGCCGCGGCCTCGGAAACCGTGGTTGAGATTCGTGGGGGAGCGCTGCAGTGCCATGCCGTCCTTCCGGCCCTCCGCATCTGCATATCAAAATACATCAAACATCGGTGAGGTGAGGCCGTCATTCCTTCTTCTGCTGCACGATCTGTTTCTGTCCGCCAAGGCGAACCCCTAGGATCCCCTGCCACGGCCTACGCAGCACAAGCCTCGATCTATCTGAGCTTCGCTGGGCAGAGTATGTCTTGACCGAAAGCCATCTCCCGCAGCCGAAGCCAAGCGTTCAGGCAGCGAAGTGTCGCGCAGCGAAGAGAAGCCAAGAGTCACCTGGACCTTGCGACCTGCGAGGTGTCCATACATGCGCCAGGGACCGCGGTTGCCGGATACTGAGGGCTGGGCTTGGCGGGTTTGTCCCAGGAATCGCGAGCCTCAGAGGCTCCTTGAAATCAGGCCCTGGGACCGCAACTGCTCGGAAGGTCCTGTAAAAGCTCTTGCTTGTGACCATAAAGTTCGTACGAATCGTGATAAGAGGCGCTCCCCTGGAGAAAGCCGATGTGGCATTTTGTGAGGAGGCTTGTTCAGAACCTCAGATCCTTATACTGTTACTTTCTCCTATTGTCACCCGATGCTGTGGGGACTTCGGTATTGGGCGTTTCTGTTGTGACTCATTTCCGCATAGTTGTAGTTTCACTCAGCCGACCTCGAACCATATGCCTGGCCTGGGTTGTCCGAGTGTGAGCGCCGAAACCGAAGGCCCTGTCACGACAGACCACCTCGAGCCACGAAGTACCACTTGGTGGATTGTCGCAGCGGGCCTACAGAGGAATGAGGTGCAGAGTTTCCCGAATCGGGCGGGGAAATGGTCTGATCAGATGTTGCTTTCATACGAACTCGTGCCTTCTGGCAGATTCTAGCATCCTCAAGCCACTGTGCACCTAATACAACACCATGTCTAGTCGGGCAACTCATGCTCCTAAGGCCGGGCAAAACCTATGTCGTGGACATTACGGGGATGAATCAGGCCCGAAATCCAGCAAGCTGCGCCTTCTCACAGCCCCAGCTGATACTGACATGGAGGGTCAAGCAGTCAAGCAGGCCGGTTGGGGCGAAGGCCTCAAGCTGGAGGCCTCAACGCGGCCAGCTTGCTTGGCCCTCGGCCATCGTACCTGCAATTTTTCGTGGTAAGCAAGGCCCGATCCGAAACCCTGAGCTGCTGCGTTTGTCTACCGGTCGGGTGTGTCTCGGTGCTTCCGAGATGAAAACTTGTGCAACAGGAAGCAACCAGCGGTGTACCGAGAGTGTGTTGTTGCGAGGCTCGGACCAGAGACAAGGCAGCCATGCGGATGAGACCGTCCGGCTCTCGGTGATGAGGTCACGGTCAAGGATGTCAGCAGAACAGGGCGGGAATGGCTCGTGGACATGACAATGGTCTTGTCTAGAATTAGCTGTGTCCTGACTTCTCAGTTGCAGCCATTTATCTGCACGACCACAAGGGCATTGTGAGACAGTGGCACCGTGCAGCCCATCGCAATGAGGAGCGCTTTGGTTGCGCTGCTCTTCGGGATGACTTCTGCATCGAACCACTCGCTGCGATCCGGCGGTGCCACGAGCCCCATTGCTATTCGGGGAAACATGCTCTTCAGTGCCAACGGCGAGCGCTTCTTCGCAAAGGGCATTGCCTACAACCCACGGAACGGCAACTATGGGCAGGTGCTTGGAAGTCACAAGCCCGAGTGCAAGGCCGGGACCCCGAAGTTCCCGCCTCTGCCATACTACGGCGACCCAACGGCGGACGAGATGGCAGACCAGTTCTCGGAGTATCTGCCGCTGATCAAGAAGCTTGGAGCCAACACCATCCGCCTTTACAACATCGACCCCGAGAAATCGCACCGGAAGTTCATGGAGCAAGCGGCCTCCTTGGGCATCTATGTTCTGGTGCCGCTGACAAGAGGAGACTGGGGGTTCTTGCCAGCCCTTCCCAGCCCTCAGTGCTACTATGAAGACCTCCCAGACTACGGCCACGTGGGCCTCAATTTGCTGACTTCCGCGAAGCTCATCGTGGACCAGTTCAGCCAGTATGCAGCTGGTCCGAAAATTCCGGTTCATTGCGTCCTGCAAATCATGCCGTTCCGCTGCTGGCTAGCCCATGTGGTCAAGAGTCACAACTTGAGTCAGCTGGAGTTTGTTAGGGCGCCTTGCAGACCGCATCCCTCAAGCACTGGCTCCTCTTAGCACTCTGACTCCCCGCTTGAGCTGCAGCCAAGTCATCACAAAGAACTGACCCGAGGAGAACACGTTGATGTTCGTCGTCGGGAACGAAATCGAGCTGCTGGACAAGGACCGTCTCCGAAGTAGGTTGCCTCAAGCTAGTAACCGAGTTCGTTCCATGAGCGAGATGCCGCTCATCTGACCCGGGGCTGCAAAAGCAACAGAGCTAGGCGCGCTCTAACCAGAACTGTCTTCGGCGATCTGGACAAAACATTACCGGTTTAATGAGCAGTGCATCCCTGATGCTTGGACATACGGAGGAGACGGGTATGTACTCGTTGGCAGATAATGTGTCCAGAAGGCCAAACATGTGCAGCGCTTTGCAAGCTTTGCCTGCTAACTCGCCGGGCCAGGAAGGCATGGCGGCATACCCTTGTGCGCCCTGGAGGGATTTGATCTGGATTTGATCGCCTGAGCTTTCCATCTCTGTCAACATGTCTCTGCCTCTCTCTGTCTCCTTCCCGTCTGTGCAGCGAGGCTTGCGAGGTTAGAGTGCTGAACATTGGATGTCTCTGCTTTTGTTGCTCACAGTCCGCTCCTGTCACATCCCATGCGCAAATTGAGCCCGGCTCAGATCCAACAGTGCAATCAAGCAGGAGACAATTTTTTTTTTGCTTCCGCAAGGTGAAAGCGCTCACGCGTGACATCCATCGATACCAGAAGGAGCAGGGCTACAGGAGCCCGCAAAGAGCAGAAGCTTTTCAGGGTAGTTCCAGCCTCCGGCTTTCTGGTGCCTGGTGCTGGTGGCAGGAGTGTCCCACTCATCTACTCGGACAAGGACCAGGGAAACAAGGACAGCGGCGGCACCCAGACGATCCAGTAGATGGGATGCATTCTTCGGGTGCGCAAAGCGGGTCTGAAGTTGCGAGGGCCTGCAATCAATCGCAGCAAGAGGGCGCAGCCAAAATCCATTGTAGTATCAGGACCGTTTGCACATCGCGAACTACCTGACCTGCGCACTGGAAAGCCCCGACGATGCAGCCTCTTGTTCTGATTCTATGAGAGCAATTTGAATGTGCGACTTGGGTTGTACCCCAAAGCAGTCTGCAGCTGCCGTTTCTTCCATATTCATGACATCCTTCTTGGGTGCAGATGGGCCTGCTGCCCTGCTACACAGTCGGTCTTGCAGGTGGATGCCTTCGGTCTCAACGCATACTCCTGGTGCGATCCGACCTACGGCAGTCTCTCGGACGCAACTGTGTGAAAGAGACATGGCGAGTTGATTAATAGGTGCCGTATTATAATAGGGACCCAAACAGGGACCCTAATTTTGACAACCACCCAAGTGTAATGACTGAGCATCGAGCTGGGCAGCGGCAGTTACGTGGACGAGCTGACCGGACTGTACAGTCCCTGCAGTCTTGAAAACACCCTGCCATTGGCCTCGGCATTCAGCGACAATTATACTGGGTTCTTGTTTAAGATTGTTAAGGAGCTTACTTTAAGTTACCATAATGAGGATATATAGTCGAATAGTATGGTTTGCCAGTACATTGTAATACGGGATAGGGATCAAAAAAAAAATAAAAAAGGATCAAAAACAAAATAAAAAGGGATCAAGAAGAAAATAAAAAAGGATCAAAAACAAAATAAACGCTCAATCAAGAGCTAGGCTTCCTGGTCCTCTGGTCCCCTGGTCCTCTGGTTCCGTGGTCCTCTGGTCCCCTGGTCCTCTTGTACTCTTGAATCCGTGCAAATACACACAAAAACTTTGCAAATACACAGTAAATTTGTCAAAATACACACTAAATGTGTGCAAACACACACTACATGTGTGCAAATACACACTAAATCCATAGAAATACACACTAAATCCGTGCAAATACAGTGCAAATACACACTACAAAAAAGTGTGCAAACACACACTACACGCGTACAAATACACACTAAATGTGTACAAATACACACGAAATGTGTGCAAATACACACTAAATGTGTACAAATACACACTGAATGTGTACAAATACACACTAAATGTGTACAAATACACACTAAATGTGTACAAATACACACTAAATGTGTGCAAATACACACTAAATGTGTGCAAATACACATTAAATGTGTGCAAATACACACTAAATGTGTACAAATACACACTAAATGTGTACAAATACACACTAAATGTGTACAAATACACACTAAATGCGTGCAAATACGCACTAAATGTGTACAAATACACACTAAATGTGTACAAATACACACTAAATGTGTGCAAATACACACTAAATGTGTGCAAATACACAAAATCCACAGTAAATGTGTGGAAATAGACACTAAATGTGTACAAATACACAACACATTTTTGCAAATACACACTAAATGTGTACAAATACACACTAAAAGTGTACAAATACACATTAAATGTATACAAATACAGACTAAATGTGTGCAAATACACACTAAATGTGCACAAAAATACACACTAAATCCGTGCAAATACACACTAAATGTGTGCAAACACACACTAAATGTGTGCAAACACACACTACATGTGTGCAAATACACATTAAATCCGTGCAAATACACGCAAAACCCTTGCAAATACACACTAATGTGTGCAAATACACACTAAATGTGTACAAATACACACTAAATGTGTGCAAACACACACCACATGTGTGCAAATACACACTAAATCCGTGCAAATACACACTAAATCCGTGCAAATACACTGTAAATCCGTGCAAATACACAGTAAATGTGTACAAATACACACTAAATGTGTACAAATACACACTAAATGTGTGCAAATACACACTAAATGTGTGCAAATACACATTAAATGTGTGCAAATACACACTAAATGTGTACAAATACACACTAAATGTGTACAAATACACACTAAATGTGTACAAATACACACTAAATGCGTACAAATACACACTAAATGTGTACAAATACACACTAAATGTGTACAAATACACACTAAATGTGTGCAAATACACACTAAATGTGTGCAAATACACAAAATCCACAGTAAATGTGTGGAAATAGACACTAAATGTGTACAAATACACAACACATTTTTGCAAATACACACTAAATGTGTACAAATACACACTACGTGTGTGCAAATACACACAAAATCCGTGCAAATACACGCAACATCTGTGCAAACACACACAAAATGTGTGCAAATACACACTAAATCCGTGCAAATACACACTTTTTGTTTCCACATTTATTTTTATATTGATACCTTTTTATTTTTTTTTTGATCCTGATTTTTTTATTTTTTTTTTGATCCGTTTTTTTTTTTTTTTGATCCGGCAGCCTGCGTAATACCGGCAGGCTTCCAGTACTCCCCGTACAAGTCGATTGCTGATGACTTCGCCACCTTCTCGAAGCCGCTTTGAAGGGATCCCTTTTCGTGCCGTTAGGGTTTTCTGGTATGGACAGAACGACGGCCGCGGCAGCAACATACCTGCAGTGGGTAGTATGACGAAGTTTGGCAGGTTGTTCAGACTTAGGTGGCTTCGGGTTGGGTGTAGCTTCCACTTCGGGCCCTCAGCTTGCAGCAGCCCTTCTCAAGCTTGATTATGCTTCATGAATCTTCGTCCGTTTTTGCTTCAGAGTCCCTGGGAACACAGTCGCAATAATAGCCTTAATCACCATCGTCAGGATAACAGTCATGCAGCTACTCAGTAACCGAAGGGCTTGCAGTGGGATTGCTGCTAACCAGGAAGCATACGGAACGATGGGCTGAGCAGACCGTTTGAATTGTAGTGGCAGTGCAGGCGGCGAAAATCAGAAAATCTAGCTATACTGGAATGGAAGTCGATGGTGGCGCCGAACTTGTGCGGGAAATTCTGCCGCAGGCCATTCCTATTCACCGAGTTCGGCTGTAACATTGGCAGCTTTCAGCAGCGAGGTTGCGATTCAGCTCAGGAGGGTGTGGTGCATTCTTTCTTTTTTGCGCAGAGATGGCATGCACGCCTCCCGGTTTCCGAAGCAGCCAAGAACAACTTCACACTTCGCGGCGAAACCAATGCGTAAAGCAAAACCGATAATTCCGGAAAGCACCGGCAGCATGTTCCAAGGTGGTCTTGCCCGGCCTACAAAGGTGGCCGCACATGGCCGCAGGCTGGAAGAGGAAGTGAAGCGCCCGACAGTGACGGAGTGCAGCGTGAAAGGCAGTCCCGACTGCTTAGATCCACTCCGACGGTTGTTCAGGTTGGGGTTATGATGGACAAAATGAGCGACCTCGTTAGCGGAGCAGTGGCCTTTGAGCGGCTGGGCTGAGACTGGCCACTTGCCAATGCTGCCACAAGCACTTGTATGCGAGGGGTGCATCGTGATAACAGTGCATAGGCTAATAAATCCAACCACATGCCGGAAATTCTCGGCACGGCGTCCTGGAGTAATAGGCAGTTCTGATGCTGCAGCATTTCTTTTGAGGCACAGTCGCAGAGCCCCGTACGCTGACCCCGATTTGGTATTACTTCATCTCTTCCCTAACACTCCTGGCTCCTCTGTTTCTGGCTTCTGGCAGAGTGTTGTATTTATGTGAGGTTCTCGATGGAGAACAACGAGTTCGGGTTGGTGCTGACGCCCGGATTCCTTCAAGGGCAAGACACGGTCAAGCTTACGGACAGTTACTATGCCCTGCAGAAGGCTGCCTCAGTGGATGCATCTATCAACCCAGTTGGAGTGCATTCACATGAGCATAGCAAAAAGCACCCATCTCACCGTTAGGGAACCCGCATTGCCTCCCTCCGCTTTTGCTTCACACCCTCCTAGTGTCTTGAGTCTTGAGATTCAGAAAATTCAGGAGAGCGTGCACGGCAGCATGGTGCCGACCACCACTGCGAGATGGGTTTGTTGATTCATGCCTTGATTGCCTAAGCCCAGTTAAGACCGGCAGGGTCCAAGAAGAATGGGCCAACTCGATGAAAACGAAATGAGATGGATTGTGATTGGTTTGCCGGCTAAGCTCTGCAGGAGTTCGAATCTCACACAGCCAAGAGTTTCGCGCAGCCAACCCGATCGGTGCCGTGGCATGTCCATTGCATTGTTGTTTAGTCGTTGGGGGTCTAAAGCGGTAGGAAGGTGTCGCACTTCGTCAGGATTTCAGCTTGTCGATGCAAAGCCGCTGCGTGAGCTTGTGCAGATGGCCCAGCCCGAACAAATTTTTCCGGCCGTAAGATTGCTCATGGCACGATTTCTCTGAACTTGGGAAGCTCGAATGAAGCAACACCGGTCTCCAGAAAGAGCGTGCACAGAACACTTCAATAGTCGTTTCGGTTTAGCTAAACTAGATGACCGAACCGTGCAGAGGCTTGCCCTTTCGTGCTCCATAAAGGACTAGTAGCTGCAGCTTTCATTGTCCCCAAGCTCTTGATTGCCAGTTCACTGGTGCTCGGATTGACTTTTCAGCCACACCATCTTGCTCGCTCCATTAGCCAGCAACTAAACCGACAAGTTCCATGCGGAAGTTGCGTATGGTTGCGTCCAGCCCGCTTGATTCGTCCAAGCAGAAAGCTCTTGCATCGAGGCGCCTTCACAGTGCATCTCTCGAGACATGGCAGATCAAATGCAGCGGCGGCACCATGTGCTCCGAATTGCAAGGTTTGGCCAGACTGGTGCAGTTTTCGGTGCTTGTGGGTGAGGCTTCCAGGGGTTGTCACTAGCTGTCTGACTGAGCCGGGAGGCCAGTGTGAGACGAGAATTCAGCTCACGGGCCTTCCAAACCAAGGTGAACCAAATCTCCGATTGGTCGCAGCTTCCACCTACACCCATCATGCCGGAGACCGTGTACCCATGAGCATCACGAAGGATGAGCGTCGAGTTTAATTAACCTCTTGCTGAGCACCTGGCCAGGTTTTCCTTTTGAGGCTGACTCTTCGAGGCCTGGCAGTCTGAAAGGACAGACTGCAAAGGCAACTCCGCGGCTCACAAGAAGCCTTGTGCTCTTGAGGCTTACAGGGCCCTGCAGGCACTTGCCAGGAAAGGTTCTGCACAGGAATGAGGGCGGTTCGCAGACTTCCTGGAGGTTCCTGCTCCGAGCACCAAATACTTATGGCCCTACGGCAGTTTTCCTTCCCCTAACTTTTGTGGAATTCGAGGCCTTGGGCCACTTTCACAGCACTTTTAGCTGCGAGAGAATGCACGCAGCAGCCCGCAAGATGATCTGAAAGTCTTGCGGAGAGCGAAAGCTTTCGGTCGGATTGTGTTAGTGCCGGGTACATGTCTCCGCCTTTCCCAGGCATTTTGGTCTGAAGACACAGCGCTTGGTAGCGAACTCCGTGAAAGCAATGAAGGAGCTTCTAGTAGCCAGTTATCGGCCTCGTGCCAGACCTGAGCTTTGTGCGGCTGAGGCGCGACCAGGAGTTACGCATCTCTGAAGGACCCCAGGGTTGCAATCGCATGGTGAGCAGCTAAAAGCGTCTCGCCCGACAGACTGACCGTCGGTACCTATTCGGGACTAGCCGTGCTCACCTTCGTGGCCTGTTTTTTCTCATGATCGCAGCTTTGCGTCACGTTTAAGCAGGGCTGGGAATCCCGCTACATGCTTACACCTTGCAAACGGTTGCGCTTCAGGACCAGCTCTTGCCCCGAGAAAGTTGCAGCAAAGGATCTGCAACTAGCCCACGCGAGGTGGTATTCAGGACTTAGGCCCCAAGCCCGCAATGACAAAGCTTGTTGATTTCATTGTTCTGTAAGCGAGGTCAGTTCTGCGGAATGGAAACCTGATTACAGCTCGCTACTGCATCAGTAGCAGAGAAGCGTTGGGAGTGTTAGTTCATGTTAGTTTCTGCCTGCTCATGTTAGCTCTGAGAAAAATGTCGGCGACTGGAAGCTGAACAGAGCAGGGAAGGCCAATAGCATGCACTAACCGGAGCTGGTTGACTGCCTGTTGCAGTCTGGTCGCGGCTGGTGCTGGTCGCACTGCCACGGTATGGTAGTAGCTAGATACCAACGGTTACCAGAGGTGATGCACGTGGCAAATTGCAGCAACTGCTCCCCGAACCTGTTTATCTATGGAGGGCCGTTGGCTCGAAACTTGATTGCCTAGTTGCATCATGAGCTTGAGCTTTCAACCAGGGCGCACGGAATCGCCTGAAGAGCCCAGTCAAGAACCGAAGCCGGTGCCCGTTGTGTCGAGCGGAGAAGGTCAGCCTGCAATGAAAGGCCATAAAGAGAAAGAGCAGTGAAGTTTGATGATGGAAGCCCAATCCTGACGATGACATTCAGGGAAGATGCCCAGACCCACAAGCCCGATAAACGTTGTCCACCACGAAGTACTTGGAAAAGATGTCGGGCTTGCACAGAGCCACGGCGCCGGAACCCGTCGACTTGAGAAGACGGGAGGCTGGTATTTGCTTTTGGCAGGTGAAGGCCACAGAACCCGACCTTTATGCGAGGAGAGCGTTGTTGCCCTTCGTTCATCGTCTTGTGTGGTTTTGGGGCGTCAGCATGTTTGCCTGCATGTCCCTGCTGTGGGCACGAGCGGAAGCTCCAACCACATCCATCCACATCCTCAAGTGACGCGAGGTGACGAAGCTCACATGATGGACGAGGCCTTGCTACTTGTTGCAGAGGCGTGTCCACCATTTTTGTGCTTGCGCATCATGAAACAACACCATAGAGTGGACGGTTCGACTTGGCAGCAGCGTGACCGAAACAAACACAATCGTGAATCCTGGGTATTCGATGCAGGGGCTGCGCTCCCTTCGCAGGTTGCCTCTTGCGATGTGGACACTCTGCGCAGTCCTGAGCATTCGCCACGTCCTGCCGCCGCTTATCAAGCCCCCGGCAACGTGTCGCTGCGCACGAGTATAGCGCGACCTAGATCAGAGCTTGCTGGAGGTTCCAGATGCCGCCTGAGGCTCTCCTGGCCCTGTGCTCAGCCTTGAAATCGTCAGCGATGATAGTATGCACAACAAGCGTTCAAGCCTGCCTTCGTCCTCCGCCGCTGACATCCGCCAAGGACAGCATTCGGCACAAGGGGGATCCCACCCCGGCCCCGGCTGATGCAGCCTGCAAGGCTGTGATGCAGTGGAGATTGCAAAGCTATTGTGCTGCTTTTGGCACATTGGCTGGGCTGGTTGTCACTGCAGCACCTATACTGGTGTGTTTGGATTTGTTTCATGCCGTCTCTCGCATCCCTGTCTCGGAACAGCTGCTGTGACACACAACCTGCGGATGGAATGCCGGTGCCATCGTAGTCATGACGAGAATGCCTCATGTGAGCCCACGATATACGACCTCATGATACCACATGCCCTGCGAGATGTACTGGAAGTTGCATTGGAGGAGAGACTGACATTGTGATCGTCCCAGTTTCCTATTCGCCCAGCCTGATCAGAAGAGAGCAGCATTGTCAGACCGCCTGATTGGAAGCTTCAAAGAGTGAATGCAGAGTAAACTTGACGCTCCGCTTCGTCAGTCTAGTTCCGACTGACGCAACGCCCCGCATGAAGCCGGAATGGCGCAGCCATGGAGTGGGTCTCCTGGAGCACACGATGAAGCATTGGGCCCCTTGAAATGGATGTGGCCTTCACTGCCCTGGATGCGGGTCATACTGTTGATGATATAAATCCTGCATTACCTGAAGGACCCTAAACTATGGGAATTATGGTATATTCCTTATAATGGGTCATGCAGGATTTATATCATCAACCGTATCCTGTCTAGTCAGCCCTGAATGCTTGGGAGAGCTCCTGTCTTGAAATACCAATACCTCCGATATCCTGCCACCATTCAACGGCAACAAACCTGAAGGGCGACTTGCTGCAGTCTCCGGGTGCTTTGCAAAGCAAGAGTGACTGCCCCCCACCAAGGTGCCGTCTTCGCCGAGACCGAGGTCTTCTTAACAGAGCTCGCGAAGCTTTGGCGGCGTCCAGAGCTTTCTCCGGAGGAGTTACTTCGTGATGCACAGAGAATGTTTTGAAAGCACGTATCACATCCGCCTTGCAACTTCAGAATCGAATTTCATGTTCTGCACTCCGACTTCTCTGCCGAGATGAACCAACCACATCATGAGTGATAGGGATAGACACAGTTGTGAACTTGAAACATCCGTGCACTTGATGCCTTCGTTGCAGATGTGACTCGACGGCACCAAGCCTTGGTGCCGCAGGACGCAACCAATCGCGCCAATGGTGTGCGGACGAAGCTAGGCAAGCCGGGCAGTCGGGAGGGATTTTGTGCGCCAAGGCCGTACTGGCCTAAAGCCTGGGAGAGGTCCCATCTTGGAGAGTGAGCGCAACTGGCTCCAGAAGAACCGCGACAAGCTGGACAAGGTGCCTCGCAACCCAAACATGACTCTAAAGTTTAAAGGGCTACTTGGTGAGGGGCGGCTAGTACAGGGTAGCAGAGAGCAGACCAACAAGTGACAGAATTGGAAAGCCTCTCCTAAACAACTCACTGGTTCGACTTCTCCGGCTGCGTACATTGTTGCGTTACTGACTGTGGTTGGCAAGTCCTTCATATCCTGACGCCCAAGACATGCACGTAACACCCGTTACGGGAGTCGCCCATGTTTTCCGAACAGGCCTTGGAGGAGGCGTCCAAACTCGCTGCAGATGTAGGCGAGGCACCTCCCGTGAAGCAGGACCTGGACGATGGCAGTCAGCTTTGAGTCTGAAGCTTTGACCGCGGGCTTCGTGCTTAGTCATTGCAGCTACTGGTAGCGCCCGGGTGCGGGTGAAGTCATGATGCTGATCCGGGAGTTCTGGCATTCAGTCGGAGGAGAATGTTCCACTTTCTGAGCAGCGTGCTGGCGTGAAAGCGACCATCGAGCGCCGCTGAGCAGAACGCAAAGGAAGTCTTGGTTTGGGGATCCCCGTGTTAAACTTTTCCAGCAGAAGCCTTTGGAGCTCTCGTCAAGAGATGGGGACCAAGGCTTGGAAAAAGCAAAGAAACGGCAGGGGACAGAGATTCAAGCTCCTCGGACATCACTCGGGTCGTCTGCTGTTCTCGGAAGGGATGCACTTGTGCTGTTTTGGAACTTGTAGCACTTGCGCATGTCTGTCTTCCAGCTTCGCGATTTTGCAAAAGTCTTCCCAACTCGGTCTGTTGGTTGGCTCTGGCAAACAACGGCTTCCGTGACAGGAGCTTCGCGCCAAAGTGGCCAAAGAGTGCAAGCGATTGAACCTGGAGGAATCGGACTACGCATGCCGGACTGCAAGTCATGGTGTTTGGATGGGGCGTTCGGCTCTTTTCAGACTGACCTGGAGTATTGATGTAGATTGTACTTTTGGCCATGAAAATCGGTTTTGATGCTTGTTTCGGCAGTTTCAGATTCGCTGTTGTTGAAGGGTTCAACCTTGGCAAGCATGTGGTTGTTTACCACCCGACGTCTCTCCGAAGGTAGCGTCTGGGCTCAGTATACATCCTGTTCAGAGCATCATTGCGAATACGAAATCGCTTCGGAAGCACACAGAGAGTGTAGGCGAAACTAGACGCAGCGCCCAGCATGCGATCCAAGAAAGGGAGTCTCTTGCACAGTGTGCACCTTGCACATGGGATCGGAGCTAATGCCGTACAGCTCCGATCTCGCATAGATCGGCACTCCTGCGCATCGTGTTGAAGTCGGCTGTGTGATGCCAGGAGGATGTCCGCATGCCTCACCCTTCCTTATCCTTTCTTCCGTTAGTTGGGGAGGCCGTATGCTGGCCCCAGGCACGCCCCCTTTTTTCTCTGACGAAGCCGGTTCTTAAATTCATAGTGCCTCTGCTTTGTTGTTTTGTTGAGCAACATGAAATCGGGGCACTCCCCTTGGCCGTGGCAGACCCCAGGCAGTGGAGGCTGCTCTGACTGGGGGGCCAGCAGTCAAGGCACGAAGGATACATGGTTTGGGTTTCATCCTCATGAGGGTTACTCTCGCTCAACAGCCCCTTGCAGGCCCTTGCAGGTAGTCGGCGGTGTGGACCTTTCCAACCTTACCGCGCATAGACTGAATGGCAAAGCCTCGCGATGCCGAAGTTTCAGTTGCACCGTTTGGCTGAAGCGGTGGGGCCCCAGTCACTTTAATAATCTCGCCTCGAGCCACTGTAAGCCAAGCATAGGTGCAGGTACTTGTAGTAAGCCGCGGCTTCTGATTCTGTGGACGTCGTGAAGCCAGGCCTTGAAGATGCAGCTCCAGCGCCTGGACGAAGTGCCTCGTCTGAGAAACCGTGGTTTGAGAGATGCTCCCGGCATTCTGGGCTTCAGGCTTCAGGGTTCGAGACGAAGGCACGCGTGATGGTAGAACTCTCTGCAGGCAGTCAGACTCCCTGCTGCGGGCCCCACGACGTTGGCACGCATGGTCTGTCCGAGGTGATGCGTGAGCGTGTGGATGTCGTCCTTGCTGCCCGAGGCGCGATGTTGTCGTTGTGTGAACCTGGATGTGGACTCTGTCAACACAAACTCTTAAGCCCGTTAACGTAGCATTGCAGCGAGGTGCATCGTGTGCAGGAGCCACGATGACTTTCGCATAGAGCATGAATCACTTCAGCCTTCAGCTGGTCACAAGCCGTAGATCCCGCCAACGCCTGTCAGGGCGCATCCGAGACCTCTCTGGTTCGCTCGGGGAGGCAGGTCCCGACTGCAGGCTGTATCTCTCCCTGTCCCCCGTCTTTCCCTCCCTCCCCTCTCCCTCTCGGGGCCTCTCCCTCTCGGGGTCGGGATCGGACAAACTATCCTGTCAGGGGTACCTCGAGGTTGTACCTGTTTTCATCTGCCTCCATGGCTCGAGTCACCATGCAGCCCTGTCAGCTACAGGCTCTCGAATTCCGCCTGGCCTTCGACGGTGAGCTGCCGGGGAGCGAAGGGGGTGTTGTTGTTCTTCCAAAGATGCCTGGCACAAGCACTTATGAAGGGCAAGAAAAATAGTGGTCTCGACCCTGGCAGAAGAGCTTGTTGGACATGACACCTCGTATTGTACCCTCAAGCAGTACGCTCAAGAGAGTTTACAGGTGTTCTGGTAGGTGTAGTCGCTCTGCACATTTTCCGTGCTGCAGCTCGGTCCAGGAAGTGGGAGCGAAGGCAGGTGCTATGAAACAACTCGCCAGGCAAGTTCAGTAAGTTGTCTCGTGTAAAGCCGAGGACGGCAGAGAACGAAAAGTTCGTGAACGATCTCGCCGAATTCAAGGAGTCCTCCACAAAGGATGTGGCCATGTTTACGCGGTGCTCGAGCCACTTGAAAGAGCTCGAGCAAGCGTACTTAGACGAGCTCGGCCGGCGCAAACCCCAGAAGAAGGTGAGGTCCATTAGCTCCGACTCTGCCTCACGCTCCAAGTCACGCCCAAAGAAGAAGAAGAAAAAGGAGAAGGAGGCGAAGGAGGAGCGGAAGAAGGCTAAGAAAGCAAAGGAGAGCCGCGCACAGAGCCCCAGGCCTGAACACCGACCCGAACATGAGGGGAACGGGGAGGCAGTGCCGCTTTCGCCGCGGCAGGCCTGGAAGCCTGACTCGAAGGCACAAAAAAACGAAGAAAAAGCCGAACCAAAACCCGAGCACCAGCCTTGGAACGAGGCTCCGGCTCAGGGGCCATGGACTCCAAGCGGTATGCCGCCGCCTGGACCTCCGCCGCCCGGCGCACCTCCGGCCTATCCCCAAGCGGCCCAAGGTTCTCCCTGGCAGCCACCTCAAGGAGCTCCGATTCCACCTCCAGCATATCCCTACAGCCACCCACCTCCTCGCCCCGGGCACGCGCCACCCCATGCTCACGCGCCCCCGCACGCACCGCCCCATGCTGCCCACGCCCCACCCCATCATCCGCCACCACCCGGCTATCCGTCTTATCCACCGCCGCCTGGCTACTTCCCACCCAGGCATGAGGCATGGCCTCCACCACACCTCGCTTACCCAAAGCCAGCTCCCGCGCCACCCCCTCACTACGGTGCTCCACCGGGCATGCCACCGCAGCCCATGGCGCCCAGCAATGATTCTGACTACCGCCATTGGGCGAAGTCCGCGGCACCCGTGCCAGAAGCTCCGGCACCGTACCCTCCTCCCAACTTCACTGCCCCCGCACCAGGGCCAGCGCATGCCGCCCCACCTGCATATGTCTATGCGCCCCCACCTGCAGCCGGAGGTCCTCCAACAAACTGGTGTGGTAGCCCAGCTTTATCTTGGATCAGATCCGATAGAATGAAAGCACACCGGCATTTGCATGTTGCAAAGTGAGAGGATGCGAGACGGCTTGCTTGATGTTCACGCCATATCGATTTTCCTGTTCGGGCTCCGCTTGGACCAGCCCCGTCAAAGCCGCAGACCACAACAGAAGCAAGCTACCTAGCCGAAAAGAGTTTTGTCGTGGCGCCAACTAGCAGCTAGCCTAACACTTCTACGTGCTGCATGCTGGCAACGAGGATGCACAATGGAAGGAAGCATGCAGACTGTAGGCAGACTATATACGGTGTAAAATAGGAATTCACCCGGCTGTGCTCACACTGAAGACATGGTCATGGTATCTCATCGATCACATGGCACAAAGAGCTGCTGCTCCGGCTGAGCTGTCTGGTCGCGTGGTGGGACTGCCAAGCTTAGTTGGTCAAGCCATTGCTTTGCAGGGCCCGGACGCGTCGCAGAAGCGTGCATCCGTGCGAGCAGGAGCGGCAGTCAGCTTAACACCTTCCCTAGCCAAAATCGCCAATAAAGATGTCGTGGTGGAGCTCCGAGGCCTACCCCAGGCGCCGCCTTTCAAGGTGGGTGGTCGTTCAGGGAATGCTGTGACCAGCAGCCAGTCCAACAAGATCCATCGAGGGTGGCGCATTGTAGCAGTTTGTGGCCAGCGTGTGGCCGCAGAGGAGGTTCCCGCCGCACTCTCCACTGCTCAGAAGTCTGCGAAGTACACCGTGACCTTCCGTCTCAGCACAGAGGAGGAGTCCAAGGACAAGGACAAGGACCACAAGGAGTCTCAGGACGAGCAGAACGAGCGGGAGCAGGCCCGGCTTCGCGAAGAAGTGTCGAAGAAAGAGCGTGAGAGGATGGAGGCGATGGAGCAGGAGCGACTGGAGCGTGAGATGCAAGAGGAGAAGAGGCTGGCCCTGGCGGAAGCGGAGGCAAAGGCTCTTCAGGTAGCGCGAGAAGCCGCCGAAAAGAGCTTAGAGAAATCGACAGGTCTGCCTGCTCGCGACAAGGTCCTTGGAGAGCCCCAGAAGGCTTTGCTCGCAGCGCTCGCGCCGACAGCGCCTGAAGGCAAACCCGTGAAGCCAGTTGCAAAGCCCAACGGTCCCTGCGATAAGTGCGACGGGCCACATGCCACGGATGATTGCCCGCACTTCAAGAAGCCCCGGGACGACCACAAGGATGCTTACGAGAACTACCAAAAGGGAAGCGTAGAGGAGGCGGCCGAGTTGGTATCGGAAAAGTTGCCAAAGTCTGTCCGGGTTTTGCCGCAGCCCGGAGATGGTTCCTGCCTCTTTCACTCCTTGAGCCATGGCCTGAAGAAAGGCCCGCCGGGTGCTTCCGCCCTCCGGGCCGAGATCGCGGACTACATTGCCGCACACCCGCAGGAGGAAGTTGCTGGGAACCCTATCTCCGACTGGGTCCTCTGGGATTCAGGAGAAGATCCAAAAGCCTATGCCCTTTCCATGAGGGAGGGTTCTCGCTGGGGTGGTGCCATGGAAATCGCTCTGTGCGCCAAGCTGCACCGCATTCGGGTGGACATCTTCGAACGAAGATCGGACCATTTCCTGCGAATAGCATCCTTCGGGGAAGCTGAAGAGTTCGAGCCCGTGAGACTCCTATATGGAGGCAGAGTTCACTACGATGCTCTCGAAGTCTGATGCTTGAAAAGCCTCGGAGTTCGCAAGCCCAGCGATGCAATTATCAGTAGAATTATTGCTACTATTATCACCATTATATCATTATTACCAGTGTTGTTATTATTATGGTTAAGATTTTTCTTATTATGATTACCACTATGATTGTATTGTTTTCTCTAAGCACTATCGATATTACTATTATAGTTATTAGTACTGTTATTTCTGCACACGTCTCTTTCTCCACTGCGGCGCTCGCGTCTGAGGCTGGGACCGGCTGCTGAGTATCCCGGCCGCTGAAGGTTCTGGTGCCGCCAGAGAGAGAGAGAGCTAGGTTAATCTAGGCTCTAGTTAGGCCTAATGCTTTACCGTGATGATACCAGTATTAATTAACAGTGATGCTAAGGATAATGACAACATCATTGCTTATATTCGTCCTACTTCTGAAGGGCTTGGGTAGCTCTGTCCATCCGCTTCGCGCGACGCGGTAGCTTGAACTCCTGCGTGCAGGTGGACCTTCACGTGGATGGAAATGAGCGGAGAATAGCAGAAGAGCCGAAGCTTGCGCAGTCCCAGTCCGGCTGCAGTCCCTCTTTGGAGGGCTAGGCGGTTAGGGCTTCGGCTGCTCTGGTCGCCTTCGGTTCTTTGGCCGAGGGCCCATCACACGCTGCCGAAAGACGTGCCCGGGCCGCTGACGTGTTCCAAGAAATTTCCAAGATTTGCAGGTCGTGGGAGGAATCACGGCCTCAGCTTTACAAATGCTGAGTTGAGACCAGTTTCAAAGCACAGCATGTCCTTGGGCTTAGTGTAGGCATGCCCTCCCACAACCTTAGTCATGAGCGTGGGCAAGCTGACGGCAATGCAAACGCTGTTTCCTGCGGGCCGAAAAGAACAAGGGGTGCGGCTTCGATGATGCTGTGCTGTGCAATTAGGCATGCTTCTTCAAGGCAGTGATTCAAAGGCACTGGCCGAGCTACCTAGCTACCAGCAGCGAGTGATCGTTTTTATCTACAAAGATCTTCTCCGTGCATGGGTGGGTCTTGTTTTTCTTCAGGGCTGGTTGCTTGTTTGCCTCTGCTTGTTGGGCGTGTGCGTGTGTGTGTGTGTGTGCGGGGGAGGGGGAGAAGGACAGTAAGCGATGAGGCATGCGAATGCGTGGCGGTTTTCCTGGAACACTATCACTATCATCCTGTACTCATTGCCATTTGTGAGGCGTCATTGCCTCGTCCAATCTCGCAGGCCGACCATCGCAAGCCGCTCTTTCGCAATGCGGATTCCAACCAGCGACCAAGCTGCACGGGGGTTTGCAGTGTTCGTGTGTTCTTCGTGGGTGCAGCCGTGCCACCGGAACCTCACATGAGGCCACCTAGTACTGGCTAGCAAGTTCGGCGCAGTTGAACCGCGCTTTTCCGAGGGCTTTCGACTTTGGATTTAGTCAGACAAATAGTCAGTCCTTGCTAGCAGAGGTCGTCATCAGTTTCAGAGAGACGTCCCAGAGGCCTGTTGCTCGGGTGTTTCCTGCAACGGATCATTTGCAGCCGTGTCTGATGCCGCCACAGGACATCCAGCCCATAAGCATCGCAATTGTGGGGCGGCCGAACGTGGGCAAGTCGACTCTGTTCAATCGCCTACAATCTGGTGACCTTCGCTGCTACCACAGTGTCGCTTGCTGAGTGTGTCCACTACGATTAGGTGGGGCGTTGTTCTGACAGTTCTGCATGCTGAAGCAACGACACCGAACCTCCAGACACTTTGAGAAGTGGCCAAGAGTCAAGAGCAATTCAAAGTTTCGAACCCCCTTTGTACTGAAAAGAAACCTCGCTTGTCTGGGTATTGTCCTAGCCGTGCGAGAGGGAGAAGCTTGAGAGGTCGTCGGTAGAAGGTACGCGGCGGAAAAAGCGCGACATAGACCACCGCGCCATCATCAGCGATCGTGCAGGCCGGGAAACCTTGCTTGTTGTCTTGCCCGCTTGGAAGGTGATGCCGGTTGATGCCGACTTAGTAGAGACTCCGCCTCAAGAAGCTCCACCTTATGGGCTGGGCTCTGTCGCTTACGATGGAAATAGCTGAGGCGGACGTGTCAGCAACGCGTGCGTGAAAGCCTGCACCTCCGCGGTCAACCCGAGAGCACCAGCTCAGAACGTGCATGGCCCCTAATGCCCCAGTGAGCGATGCGACCACATTCCGCCGATATGTTCCGAAGAATCAATATGCAACCTTGCAGGTGCTGGCAATTTCAGATTGGTTTTCCGCAGGAGTCGAAATAAACGTATCAGGCTGCTGCGCTCGGTCAGCCAACCCAAAATCTCCTGGATCGCAGTTGAAGAACCACTCCATGTCATCTCGGACGATACTCTACAAAACCGATCTTCGACGCGTCGAGATACTAGGCCTGCCAAAATCACGAGAAGGAGACATTATTCTGAGCTGACATTGGTTTAAAGTCTGGCTTCTCTGCTGCCTCTTTTTCATTCCTATGCAGAGTTTGGAGGCACCACCCGCGATCGCAAAGATGCGCTGGCGGTGCTGTATGGGTGTGATGCCAAGCACCTGTGCATGACATTGCGGATTTGGTTTGACATGGTTGCACACCAGTATCAAGTGTTGTCTTTGGCATTAAACTCAAAACTTACCTTTAAACCTTGGACGCAAGCTGTGGGCACTTTTGGGACGATATGTTGTCACGACTCGTTCCATGCGCTCGGCTGGTTAGGGTGAACTTGGGGATATCAGGCAAGCGATCATTTGGCAAGAATTCACAGACCTGTGCTGAAGCTTCTGCTTTCCTTTGCTGACCGATGTTCCGTGGCGCCAGAATTAGCATTTGGAAGGCTGCTGCTCCGAGTCATTGACACGGGCGGACTTGAAAGCCCGAAGGAGACGTCTGCAAACACGCTGCTGCCGCTGGGCTACACCAGGTTTTTTTTCGCTGCATGCTCGATGCGCTTCTTCGACTGTATGCTTTTTATGCAGAAAGACGATTGACGAGGGGTTACAGTTTGTGACTCTTGAGGCAGTCTATGCAGGAGCAGGTTTGGAGAGCGATCGCAGAGGCATGGAGAGCCTGTTTGCGTTGCTTGTCCTTGTCCTGGATTTGAGTTGCCATTCAGCAACTCGGGGCATGCCATGCTGTGCAGGCGCAGGCGATCCTGTTCCTCATCGATGCACAGGAGGGCGTTCCCCAACCACGTTTATACCTGCGTCCTTCGCAGTCACAGCAGGGCTTTCCAGCCTAGATGCTCCAGTGTCATGCTGGCTTTCGCCTGCAGCAGCAGCAGCAGACCCGACGCGGTGCCGCGAGCAGTAGTTGGTTGGAGCTCAGAGCCCCCACCCCGAAGGCGAGAGATTGCCGTGCTGTGAACTAAACAATTTGATGAACACCTGTCAAACCACCCTTCCACAAGGATAGTTGCCGAAGCTTGCTATCGCCTACAAACTGGCTGTTATCCCTGCTGGACCTGAACAAGCAAGGATACACCAGCAGGACATACTGCCACTCGCTTGCGCACTGCCAAAATACATGCGACAACGCATACTTTTTCGGTCGTCACGCCCATAAGAACAGATACCAGGTGTGATCATGGCCCCAAGGCCAAAAACGGGCGCTCTGCTGAATCTCCGTCCAAATCGGGCTGCTCCTGTGCGAATGAGCGGGAGCGCGTCATGCGGCTTCTGCGCTACACTGCTACACCTTTGCCAGATCACCCCGAGCGACATTGCGATTGCCAAGATGCTTCGTGAGGGGGCAGGGAACGCCCTGAGCTCAGACCTACAAGTTTCTCCACATATGGGCACCAGAGCAAACTCACGGAGCACCACATTAGACCGGCTCGGATCTCCGCAGACTTCAGCAAAAGTGTGTTCAAGCGCAAGAGGGTGAGTGAGGGCTACAGTAGTTTTTCTAGAGAAGTGTAGCGTGCGTCCAAATCCACGAAGCCGCATCATTCGCAGGCAGATCGCTATCGGGACCTTTTCAAGACGGAGACGCCGAGGGATGTCCCGTTGGATCCCCGGTCCATGGAGTCACCACGGTGCAGTTCTTTGCCGCACGATCAGTCTCCGCAAATCACCAAGGATCATCCTCATCGCCAACAAGGCGGAGAACACTTTCATCGGACCTTACTTGAACGACTGCTACGAGCTGAACGTGGGAGATCCGGCCGGGCCTGGGGACGGAGTATGCAAACAGATGACCTGGCTCTTTCTGGGGGAGATGCCTTAGCCCCTCGACTTCAGGTCATCATCTCTGCCAAGCAAAACCAAGGCATGGTGCGCGCCCAAGGGGCCTCCGAAGTCCGTTTCCTTGACAGGTTTGCTCTGAGATTGTTGGTTTGAGCCACTTGCGTGTAGGAAAGCGTCGGCTTCTCCATATCAAGGACGATCTCTACGACCGGCTGCTTCTGGAAGTTGGCCACCTTCAGCATCAGGAAGAGGTGCAGCATATTTGGGAAGCACGAACCCGCCCGTAACACAATTCCGGAAGTACATCCTTGTTCCGGAAAGTGACGCATGCCATGCGACCTGCATGCGACAACTTGCACTTGCTAGGTCTCACTCCGTACTTACTTTGCGCAATTCATTATTTCAACTGCCTGTTGCGGATCGTTGCGGCACATTGCTATTTTGTTCCGAAGCTACCCGCAGAGCACTCGTCAGGAAAACCCGGGCACTGCATTCATGCCAACCGGCGAGGAAGGCATGTACATGCAAGGCGGCGGGCAGACATTCCGAGAATTCAAGGTCAGAGATTTGCTGTCGAGCTACATGGCATCGATTTCGTAGGTCTGGAGAGCGAAGAGACGGCCGAGGATGCTGAGGAGGAAGAGGTGGGCGGCGACTTTGTTATCTTCGGCCAGGCATGAGTTTATAATTCTGGGCCTTTGCTCTGGATGCTGTAGATTGAGTGCCTCTTTCATGCAAGCGGGCATGTTTATCCCAGACTGCCTGCGTCTTTTCTGGCTGAAAGCCTGAAAGCTGTTGGCCCGTGCTTCAAACATAACATAGTGTCTGCACCAGTGGCCAGTGCTTCCTCCACGTAACGAGTCGCCCCGAAAAGGCCGAGGACGACCTTGAGGACGAGGAGAAGATAGATGTAACTGCAGTCGTGCATGTCAACGCTAGCAAAGACCAACGCAGAAGGAGTGCATCGACCTTGGAGTTTCCGGAACGCTTCGCTCTGAGATCTTAGAGCCCTTGCAACTGTGCAGGAGTTCAGTGGACAGAGTGACTCAGAGAGTGGCCCTCCACCAGGAGACCTGAGAGCTGTCTGGAAGTGGTGCCGTTTATAAGCAAGGGTATAAAGCAGTGGCTAGCCTGTTGCAGGATTGCCCCTTGTAGTGTTTGCGGGGGACGATCGAAGTGTGGCTCCTCCATGCTCTTTTGGAAGACACGGACTTGACTGTTCTCCCAAGTGTACGCGGTGCATGCATTGCGGATCGGAGCTTCCTGCTGACTGAACAAACAGTTCGAGGCTTGAGCATACAGCAGACTCTAGCTTAGAAGGGGCAGCATCAACGATTCCACTACAGAAGGGCGCTATCGAATCCGCATCTACATACAAAGGCTCCGTGGGCCATTCGTCCCACGTCCTTCCCCGCACATAATCCGTGGTCCATGCCTGTCACCAGGACCCACCTTGCCTTGGTTGACTTTGGACATGCCGGAGCAGAAGTGGAAGTCGCTGAGGCTCGCCATGGTGGTGAGCACGGTTTCTCCAGCCTGCAACTTCACAGCAGGAAGCTGCACCAGGTACTATGCACATCATCCTGCTGATCCTCTCGGAGCATTGGACCCGGGGCTCAAGGCGCGGTCTCGTCACGGTACTGGCAGCTTCGATCAGCTCTTCTCGCGAAGTGCGGTTTTTTGATGAAATCGTGTTGCTTTGGCAGGCAGAGCCTCAGAGCATGGGGCTTCCTACTAAAACCCTGGCCCATCTCCGAGGCGGCGATTATGCATGACGACGGCAGACGAATTGGCAAGTACTGGCTTGACGTCTCTTCCTCGGTGACTCTTAGGAAGCGTTGTCTACTTCTGTCATCTAGTTCACGGTTCTTCGAAGCGTTCCTCACTTCGCATGCTTGCCGAGCATCGGTTCTGGCAGGAGCTAGATACCTGTCTGTAGAGTTGAAACAGCTGGATCTCCTGTCGGGATCAAGTGCATCTGCAATCGCTCCATCCTTTTAATATCCGGTTGTAACATCGCATGGCTAAGGCCAAGCAGCGCTCGCTTCCGACAAAAGAGGCCGGTCTGGCTGCCAGGGCTTTGACGCTAACATTCTCTAACTGCATCCCTTAAACGAGATCCTGGCTCGCAACCCAGGAAAAAGCCCCTCGCTCCGGAGCAAGCTTTCTGTGGTCTGGGCTCGTCCATTATGCCTCGATCTATTCGCCAGTTTTGCCTTCCAATTCGCGGTGTTCTTTGTCTGAATTTTCTCGCAATCGCACTTGGCCTTCTGACAGTGGCATTTGTCTGCACGGCTGGACCCCCATGCATGCATCTTGCAGGAAGCATGTTATGGAGGGGTATGAGGCCTCAGGCTTACCGTTTGCCATGTTCCTGATAAACAAATTCTACTTGTGCAGTATGCTCGTCCCTGACACACCCTGAGATTCTGTCAACCGTTATGAGCCCAACACATCTCTTGCAGGCAAGGGACTATGTCTTGCGGCGCTAGCCTTGAATGGGCACTCGGGAGGGGATCTGCGTGAGTCAAGTTATGGTTTCCAAGCCCCTGCTGAGCCATTCCCTTGCTGCCAGACCCATCCCAACTTCTGGCCGCTGTTCGGAAGTCAAGGCATCGACGTGCTGAAGAGATGGAGAACGCCATGAAGGTTTCGGTTGGGTAGATGAGTCCTGAGCAATAGGTGCAAAGTCTAGACAGACAGCTGACAACAACAGACGTTTTTGAGACAATCGAGGGCGCAGGAGAGCATTGAGAACACGCAGAGATCTAGGATCTTCTGCTTTCACCTGGAGCCGATGCAGGTGGCAATTATTGGGCAGCCGAATGGCGGAAAGCAGCATCCTTGTCACATGCAGTTGATCTTTAACCTCGGATGTGAACACCGCAGCAAAGAGGCGTCGTTGACATGCTGCACCCCGAGTCGAGTCTAGTCAGTTTCACCTGCAGCACCCCACCGGCAATAACAACAGCTATGTCTTCAATCAGCCTTCACTTCTTTTTGTGTGTGTGTGTGTGTTGAAGTTGCAACTGCCAGCAAGTATATACTTGCAGGTATCTGAGACATGTAAACATGAAAGGTCCAGCATCATCAATGCGCTCCTTCAGGAGGAGCGGTGTGTGGTGCAGTCCTCAGTTTTCGAACACAGAGTCCGAAGCCCGCAACAACAGAAACCGCATCATGCCATTTAAGTTTTAAAGTGTACCGATGGTTTGACCCGTATTACCATGCTTGATTTTCTGGGCTTCGACGGTTTTCCAAGAACCTGCCAGGTTGACGAAGCGGATGGCACGACCATGGACTCCATCATCACTAACTGGACCCCGCTGCACATGTACGATGTCGCACTTGCTTGAATAGCTGTACACCGCAGTGTCAGTCAACCCCTGCAGTACCTTGTGAGCAGAGACTTAAATTCAATCATATGGTGCTGCTCTTCATTTGCGTTTGTGCACCTGTGATCGCAGACATTGACTGCGGCGGCTTGGAGCACCCAAGGCGCTGCATTTGTTTGAGACCCAGAGGCCAAGGGCACGGGGTTTGGCGATGCACTTGCACGAGCCAAACCAAGCACTTAAGAAGGTCCCCAGCAGGTGCCATAGCAGGCGGGATACGTAACGAGGGATGAGGATCCCAACTACATCGCCTCAGGACGTTCAAAGAGCACCCGGTGAAGTTGATAGACACGCCCGGGGGCCCAGTATGGTGTGAATGCCGGTGCTTCATTTAAAGCCAAAAGCTGCATGACACCATTTTGTTGCTGAGGTGTGGGATCTACCGAGGCTGGCAGTACTCCGGTACCACTGCAGAGTTCCCTGCTCACCTGCGGACCTGCTGCGTGCCGTCAGGACCTGCACGTAGTCCCGAAGCCCAAGTCTAAGACTGCCGAGGTTTGTGCAGCCGGGCATGGGCACACGCAAGGCCATCCGACGAGCTGCGCCCTTGGAGTTTTGGTCGATGTGATTGGCAGCCGTGCCAATTCTGTCTACTTTGGAAAGTTATGTCAGGCATGTCTACCTCACTTTCCGCAGTAGCTTCTCTCACTCTTATGCTCTGGGCGGTGCACCGAGCATCATGCACTTGCTGTATGCTTTGTCTGCTTTGCAATAACAGCAGCCCGGTACCAAGTAATTCTTTGCACTCGAAGCAGCCTGATTCATTGCCATGTCCAAGCTAGGCGCACGTCTGCGTCCTTTGCCTCGACGCCCAGCGATATGCCAAGATGACGCACAACAGCTGTCGCGAGCTTGGTAGTGCAGAACTTAACATGAAAACGGATCCTCAACAACGTGACATGTCTGAGGTCCGAACAAGTTTGAGATCAACTTGGGCAACTTCGTCGCGGACGAGGGCAAATGTTTGATCATCGTGCGGAGCTTGCCATCATTAGTTGTATCAGCTTTCATATGAGAATCCGCTGTAGCTTGAAGGGTTCGCTTGCTCGGTCAAGTCTGTCTGGGCAAAAAGTTGGACGACAGCCATCGGCAGCTCAAAAGGCACAATCATGGTCTGCATACATTCAAGATGTGCCAGTTCCAGTGCATCGCCAGGGCCTGCAGACGAGAGTCGACCACGTGTAAGAACAGGCCCAACAGCGGCGGCACCTTTCCACCCAACTTACGACCTCAAAACACTGCATTGCAGCAGCATGCCAATGCAGTCCCGAGGTACCATAGTCCATAGCAAGCATTCTGCAACATTTCCGCCTGGTGGGCGCCATGGTCTGTGAAGAGCACCCAGGGACGGAGCAGGTTTCAACCATCGTGCACGGACGAATTTCTCTGCGGTGCGACATAATCAGCTGGGCGAGTGGGAAAAACCATCATGCATTGAACATGATTCCTTCTGGGCAGGCCGAGAAAGCAAGTGATGCCGGTGCTGCCTCCGGAGGCTGGGGTCTCGGACTACAGCTGGTGCGCTGTATCCTTGCCGCGTGACAACGGAAGGCTGGCGAATTTTGCAGTTGTCTGCATGGAGCTGCTCCGAGGACTTCCGGGAAGGTAAGTGCAAGTTCCCGGTTCCTAGGGCCCTGGGCTTCAGTGGCTATACCGTTGCACCTGCAAGCTTCCAAGTCCATAGAGCACCCACTTACGGAATCAACTGCCCCACGACGCCTTCGAGATGCAGCTCGCCCATTGCTTCGAAGAATCCGTATTCCGGCTCGGCGTTTGGCATCATGGTGAGTTTACAGGCATATGTATGTATATATATATATATATATACATACACATTGTACACACATACATATACACATTCAGGATACAGGTTAACCTTTACTGCCGGTTCTGAGTCTCTTCCTGCCTTTTTTGCAGGAGGCGGCCTTAGATTCCTTCCAGCGCGTCGCTGGGGGCCAGGGCGTGCACCGGGCTGCAAATCTGGTACCTTCGGGGGCTTGGGGTTCGTTTCAAGCGTTTTTGTGTCCGAAGTCTGCAGCAGGCTGGGCATCAGGGCATGTGCACTGCAGGCCCTCCTCAAAAAGGGTTTCGGGGAATGGGTACGAGAGGGAGAAGAATACTGAGTATACTGGTGTTGAAAAGTTAGTTGTCTTGAGCCGAAGCAGTGGCAACGCTGCAGTTTCTCTGATGGGGGTTGGTCTCGAGTTTCTGAGCCTTGGCGTTCTTCCACTCCGGGGGCGGGGGCAGCCGAGCTGTGGAGGTCGAAATTTGTCGGAGACTCGTGCATCCCTCCTTCACTGAAGCTCGACTTGAGGTTGTGGCAGCGGTGCTTGTCGACCCGGATGGGGATGCTGCAGAGCGCGCCTCCGCCAAAGCTCGGGTGAAAATCTGGGCCAACCCCCCTCCACGAGCCTTAGTCATCGGCGGATGAGGATAGAGGTCCAGGTGCACCTCTACCGTGTAATTATAGTTCTTATGCACATCCAAGCTGGGCATGCGTAGAATCTCGCGAAACCGAGGTTGCTAGTTGCTCCCATCATGTCTTCGATACCAGTCGCTAGACTCATGCACCGGCTCATGCGTGAGCTCCTAGCTGAAGGGCATGCTTCGGCTTCGGACCTTCTCCTGCAGCCCCTCGATACGCTTAGCAACACTTGCCCGAACGAGACATGTGCGCTGAAGAAGAGGGATGGATCCGTTAGAACATAGCAAGCTCTTCAGCCCAGGCTTTGGGCCAGCAGTCGCTTGTCGCGCCATGACGAGCATGATGGCCAGGAGCCGGGTGGAGAGAAGCAATAGTAAAAACTCAATATCCCAGTGGGAGGGAGGCGCGCGTTTGAGCATGGGCGGGAGATTTGGGGAAGCCCTTGCTCTTCGCATGCAGTTTAACTACCATGTACTACGAACAGGACGTGCCAAGCACGTCGCCCCAGCCGTTGGAGACGTCGGCGAGGCAGGGGGAGGGCGAAGGCTCAGGGCACTGAGGGCTTGAAGTTCGAAGCTGTTCGGGAGTCCATCCGAATTCCGAGCGCAGGCCCGGGCGCCCTCCGCGTCGCTTCGCGCGCTCCAAAGCTGAGCGAGCCTCCCGCATCTCCCGCTCCCGAGCTCTCCACGCCCAGCACGGCCGCTCGGAAGCGGAAGAGACCCTTTTTGCTTTTGAATGTCTCGCAAGTGAGACGTCCGTCCGTGTGGACAAGCTGATTCGCAGCTCCATGGCTTTCATGCTGCATCAAGGCCACGGAGCCCAGCACACCCGTTGTGACCGAATTCCTCGACAGCCAGCCGGGTCTGGCGAAGGACCTGCAGCGGCATCGCCCGTCGCCGCCGCTGTTGTGGTTTCCGAAGCTGCTTGCAGTTGCTGAGAACTGGGAGTGTTTGGTGCAGGAGAAGCTGGACTTGTGTAACTGGATGGCTGCTCTCCCGGATCAGCTTCCACTTTGCAAGGCCGCATCGATCGTGTGACGGCTCTGTGGCGGCGGGTCACGAGGGTGCAGCTTCTCCGTCTGTCCTATGCGTCACCACTCTCATTGAAGAACATGTCTAACCACGCTCGAGCGTTGAGTCAGAGGTGGCACAATGAGAGGGCGCGAGTATGAGTAAGTTGATCCTGCATTAGAGTGACAGAAGTGCCTGTGCAGGTGTCAATACCCGGCACGCATGACTCGGCAACTTTCCAGATGTGGCCTTTGCCAGCAGCTCCGTTCGCAGGGCAGAAGAGTAAGCAGTAATTAGTAGGCACAACCGGACGGGACACAAGGATTACGAGCACTGCCAAACGTTGCTGAGACGTGCCGTGGTACGCTGTAGTTTCCGAGGCACAGAGAGATAGATCCAGGCTTTCTCGTTGCGCATGCTTGAACAGAACTCGAGGTGAATTGGGCCTACGTCCATGCTTACGGCCAGACGCAAGACTGGGATCTCTCTGCCCAACTTGCCGCAGGCCTTCAGAACTTCACGTGAGCTGTCATGCACCTGGCATCATGAGCAATACTGCAATACTGCACTCCTGCTCTTTCTAGTCCTGTGTCTACAGCTTCGGCAGCACGCCGGCAGTGAACTCCACATGCGGCAATTTCACTTATTGGGATTTCCTTGTGATCAGATCCTGAAAAGCAATCGAACCCAAGCTTCTTCAGTAAAGCACTTTTCTGCTTCGGTTCTGAAGTGAGTCTGTTGCGTTGCGGGGTTGTAGACGAGTAGAGCCAGCTAGTGGCAACAGAAGCTCAAAGAGCCCGCCCCGACGGCAGGGGTGCGCTTTCTCGACCTGCGTGCGACCTGACTGGGTTAGACGGAGTGGACGCCCGAGGGACAGCACTCCTCGAAGCAGTGCGCCGTGGCTTCGGAGCTCAGGTGAAGGGTGACGGTTGGCTTTACCACGGACCGCTCGCCTGTGCTTTGACTCTCGAGGCTGGGGCTTGTGGACGGTTCTGTCAAAGAATTTCCGTATCATCAACGTGTCATTCTTCGTTACACCTCCTACTCCAGTATCGAACGCAAGCTTGTTCACCACTGCCCTCTGCCAGGCAGCACTGCAAACTTGCCATTCTTTCTTGCAAGAGCATCGCAGCGAGCTGATCCTGCTGCGCCTCTTGTTCGTGATCATACTGGGTGTAAGCTCTCTTAGCACAGAGTGAGGCAACCTACCCGTGGATATGGTCTTGAGGAGCCGTTCCGAAAGCCTGAATGCACCGCATCTTCTGGCGGACAGGTTCTGCTGCTAGCTCCCAGATCGCCGAAATATTGGTTCTTAGGTTCTTAAGCTCCCGCCACTCCCAGGTATCAAGGACGAGGAGCGCAGCCGGGATTCAGCCCGCAGAGTTTGTGAGCTCGTGAAGAAGTTCGCCAAGTACATGCCTCTTCATTTCAGCGCCTCTTGCAGCACCAAAAGGGCGACAGACATGCTTTGGGGAAGACTGAAAAGCTGACAATCGTGGCTTGAAAACTTCAATGCGCAAGCGCAAGTTGCCCAAGTTAGCAGCAAGAGAGCCCACTGCACAATAGTTCTGGTGAACTGTCCAGGTCGGCAATCGTGTTTGGTTTGCGACCTCCGGGGCAAGATGCTAGTGTTGCGACTTGGAATCTCAAGCACAAGGAGCGTTGTTTCGTTTGTCCGGCTATGAGAGCAGTGTTTTGAAAAGGGGGCCTATGCCGATGGGTGGGATCAGGTATGGTGACGTGGCAAACCGGCACAAACCACAAGCAGGACATGGCTCCTTGCAGCACACATTTATCGCCCGATGGAAACTGCATGTTTCGCTCCAAGGGGGGAGGGGGATTTAACCCCTCGTTCGTGACATGTAATCCTCAGCCTGGCCTGCTGTGACCGAGTGGGAGCAACAGAATGGTGGAATCGTGCAGTGTAAACCTGGCATTCTGCACATCCTAAATAAAGAAGAAGAAGACTTGCCGTCCGAAGCAGCACGTGAAACTATATGACGCTCCAATGCCAGGGAGGGACGCAACAAAAAAAAATCGGGGCTTGTCCGTCTTAAGCTGTCTACATATGAGCATCAGCATCAAGCAATCCTGAATCCTGGTCCAAGCGCTGGAGAAGTTGCTGTGCCTCCTTGCGCACTCTAGCCAAAGCAGTTTCACATCCTCCTCTTATGGGTATACTGCATATGCATCTTCGAGTGTTGTGTTAACTCCTAGGGTAAAAAATCAGAAGCAAAGAAAGCGCCATCTCCCTCGGAGACGAGGCAAGACTGGCAAGGACCGGAGGTCTCACTGCCTTGGGGCAACTCCGCCATGAAGATCCAGGACTTCTGGAACCCAGGCTTGCAGGGGGCCGGCACGAGGCGAGACAAGACTAGGGAGGTACAGGAATTTTGGAGGGTTGCAGCTTGTTCTTGTGAAGCCACGACCTGTGCAGTTTAGACACTGCAGAAATTCCAGAGGCTCTTTGAAAGAGAAGTGGGTCGCCGTGCTCAAGCACCTGCGGGGCGTGCCGCGCAGACAAGGCTTCAGCTTCTT